GGGCTTAGTTGCCCCACGGCATGTGGAATCCTCCCAGACCAGGGGTCGAACCAGTGATCCCTGCATTGGCAGGTGGACTCTCGTTCACTGCACCACCTGGGAAGTCCTGCATTTTGCAAGATTTTGATGTAGGTTTTCCTGGTATAGAAAGAAAGATGGCCTTCCAGACAGAAGAAACAAGCCATGCAGGAAAAAAGCTGAATCAAGTTAGAACTGAGAGCTTGGAGCCCAGGGAACGCATGAAAGATTCATTTACAGAGAATAATTGGGCCATTTGGGAATGGTCAAAGAGCTCACCCTGCAGGCGATGAAGTGTGAAGGAGAGGGGAAAGGAGATGATGACCTGCATCATATTCAAATGTCAAGAAAAAACCTGTGAAATTAAAGGTCACACAGAAACTGTCAGCCAGGCAATGAATGACTGGGTGGATGGTGTGCTAGGAAGAGACCTATAGCATTTATACATTAACTGTTTTGTTCATCAGGATTTTTTTGAGTGTACATGCTGTGCCAACCCCCCAAACCCCAACCCAAACCAACCCCTCATCATTCTTCAGAGAGCGAACTTTGGATCCAGCCTGCTGGGGTTCCAGTCCCCACTCTGCCACTTACTAGCTGTGGGACCTCAGGCAAGTGTCTTGGCTTCTCTTACTTGCCTCATCTGTAAAATGGGAGTGATGAATGTTACCTCCCAGGGCTTTTGTGAGGATGAAATGAATTTTATTTATAATATATAATGTGTTTGGACAGCATCTGCTACATTCTAAGTGTTTTGGGACTGTTAGCTACTGTGTATTCATTTCCATCTGTTGCTAACATGTTTATACATGTTTATACAACTAGGGCTTCCCAGGTGGCACTAGGGGTAAAGAATCCACCTGCCAATGCAGGAGAATCAAGTTCAGTCCCTGGGTCAGGAAGATCCCCCGGAGGAGGAAGAAATTACCCACCATCAGTGGTAATATTGGGGTTTATACTATGAGAGTTCTGGTAGCTGCTCAAAGCTCATGAAAAAGGTGAGGAGGTACATGATGGAGAGTTTAGACTGTGTTTTGTTTTGTTTTTTCAAAACAGCTTTTTTGAAGTGTAGTTGGTTTACAATGTTATTTTCAAGTGTACCACAAAATGATTCACATATATATATATGTGAATATGTATGTATGTGTGTGTGTGTGTGTGTATATGTATATATATATATTCTTTTCCATTACAGGTTATTATGAGGTGCTTCCCTGATAGCTCAGTTGGTAAAAGACCCGGCTGCAATGCAGGAGAGCCAGGTTCAATTCCTGGGTCAGGAAGATCCCCTGGAGAAGGGATAAGCTACCCACCCCAGGATTTTTGGGCTTCCCTTGCGGCTCCGCCTGCAATGCGGGAGACCGGGGTTCGATCGCTGGGTTGGGAAGATCCCCTGGAGAAGGGAACAGCTCCCCACTCCAGTACTCTGGCCTAGAGAATTCCATGGCCTGTACAGATCATGGGTCACAAAGAGTCAGACATGACTGAGCGACTTTCACTTCACTTCACTTCGTGAAACATTGACTGTGGTTCCCTGTGCTGTACGGTAGGTCCTTGTTTGTGCCCACTCAGTGGTGTTCGACTCTTTGTGGACCCATGGACCTTAACCTGCCGGGCTCCTCTGTCCATAGAATTCTCCAGGCAAGAATACTGGGGTGGGGTCCCATTCTCTTCTCCAGGCGATCTTCCTGACAAGATAGAACTTGAGTCTCCTGCATCTCCTGCATTGGCAGGTAGATTCTTTACCACTGGCTCCACCAGGGAAGCCCAAAAATAAATATTTAAAAGGAAACAACAACACAACAAGAGGAGGGGACAGGCCATGCTACAAAGGGCCACGTGAGGAAGCCACCAGGGTTGGTCAGGAGACAGGGAGTGAGGAAGCAATGTGGGCAAGAGCTTTTGTGGTTTCTGTAGGAAGGAATGGGCAATTCAGGATAAGCAGGTTTAGGACTGGCAAACTGGAGTAATTTCAGCAGACTCCGTGGTGGAGGAGCTGTCTGAATTTTCTGGGACCTGGTCCTGGCATGACTAGGGCAGGGAACTGTTGTTCCAGACTATGGGGACTGTAGAAGCTCCCTACAGCAGGTGGTTGGGGTCTGGGTTGGTCTGCATAGGAAATGTACAGTCACTCGCAGCTGAGTGGTTTATGATCTCTAGCAACTAGCTAACTCTGGGAGGGGCAGTCCCTCCAGAGTCTGTAAGACACCAGATGTCGAAACATCAGAATCACATGGTTACTACAAAGGGGGAGCAGAGACCCAAATATGAGGTGAAGGCAGAGTTGGAATCCCTAGCTCCCCATTTTTGTCTCTCTCCTGAGATTCCCAAATCCTCTCTCAATCTGCTCCGAGAGTCCTGTCTACAGCAGGAACTGCAGCTCCTATGCGAAAGAACATTCCAAAGAGATTACATCATTGTAAAACCTTTGCGAACACAGATCACAAAGATCATTTTCAGATTACATACGAAGGGCCAAGATAACTGTTGATTTAAGACTAGGATGGAAGTTCAGACAGGAGACAGGGATGGGTGGTGGTGGTCTAGGGCAGAGGTGACTCCATTCTTGACCATGTATGCAGGGAATCTGTTGTATGAGACAATGAACTTGATACTCCTGGAATTTAGATCGATTGGAGGAGACAGAGTGTAAACAAGAGGATACACTTGCAGGCAAAGAATTACCAAATGTAAAAGGCACCCTGGATGACTAGAATGGGTTTCCTTAGATACGGGAGTCAGAGACTGGCTCCCAGAGACCCTAAGTTATATGTGTGCTCACTCAGTCACGTTCAACTCTCTGCAGCCCCGTGGACTGTAGTCTGCCAGGCTTCTCTGTCCATGGGATTCTCCAGGCAAGAATACAGGAGTGGGTAGGACTTCCTCCTCCGGGGAATCTTCCTGACCCAGGGATTGAACTCGATTCTCCTGCATTGGCAGGTGGATTCTTTACCACTAGCGCCACCTGGGAAGCCCTAGTTGTATAAACATGTTCATTTAATACCAATAACAGCTATTATTTGCTAAGCTTATATTTCAGGCCAGAAGAGATGCCACTCATGTATATGCTTATTAGATCCTTCAAAGAATGCTGGAAATTGCCTACCATTTTAAGCCTATTTTCCAGATTGGGTCACTGAGGCCCAGCTTGCAGTTTTCCAAGAGAAGCAGAGAGGCTGTGGTTGAAGTTTGCAAAGGTCGTTGTTGAGGTTCCTAAGGGCAGGGTGGGTGCATCCCAATAAACTTCCTTGAACATTCCAGGATCTGGGAATATGTATTGCTTTTTTGTTTTTAATTTCTTTTGCTTGCACTGGGTCTTCATTGCTGTATGGGCTTTTCTTTAGTGGTGATCGGGGGCTACTTTTTGTTGGGGTGCGAGGGCTCATCATTGCTGTGGCTTCTCTTGTTGTGGACTATGGGCTCTAGAGCACACAGGTTTCGGTAGCTGCAGCACACAGGCCCTAGAGCACAGGCTCAGTAGTTGTGGTACTCAGGCTTAGTTGCTCTGCAGCATGTGAAATCTTCCCAGACCAGGGATCAAACCTGAGTCCCCTGCATTGGCAGGCAGATTCTTATCAATCGGGCCACCAGGGAAATCCTGAGAATACGTATTGTTAATGACCTTCACATATAACTTTTATCACTGGGGCCTCCTTTACATTTCTTCATCTTTGTGGATGCTAAACTAGACCTGTCTCATTCTCGGTAACATTCTGGTAAACAGGCTCTGGATGGGCTCAGGAGGCTCTGATTTTTAGCCTCTGCCAATTTCCTTTGTCAGTTTTTAGTGCAGACAGGTGTGACATCCAGAGCAGCTGCAGCCACTTTGGGACAAGAGGACTACAGTTTTCCCCCACCTCCCCCCAAGCACACCCACCACAGCACTGCTAGCAGATGGGAGAACCTAGTTCCCTGAAGGCTTTGGAGTCACTTTACCTTGAGACTTCTTGTTTGTGGTGATAATACACTTTTCTTTATTGTATAAGCCTAGGTTTGGGTTTTCTGTCCTTGTGGCTGAAGGGATTCTACTGAAGGCATACATATGTGATGGGCAGACCCATCAGGACAGGACAAAGATGCCAGGATGCAGCCTCTCAGAAGTGATGCTTAAATTGATTCTTAAAGAATGAAGAGGGCTTTGGCAGGTGAAGCACAGGTGGAGTTTCAGAAGAAACAGGGTTTCCAAAGAAACAGAGGCATGGATTTCTTCCAGAAAGTGTATTTGGATGGAACCAGCATACAGAGCAGGTCAGGGATACATGTGAGATAAGGCCAGAAAGGCTGAGGGGCTGGAACCTAATTCTGGGGTGGGATCAGTTCTGTGACACTTCTGGGGCTGTGGAAGGAAGGGGCTAGGAGCCATGATATCAGGAAGGGGGCTGAGATGGCTGGAAACCAGGGGTCAGGAGAGTCTGGGCTCCTGGGATCAGAGTTGATCGGCAATGCGGAGGACTCTTCTGGCCCTCACACCCAGCCGTGGGGGAGACACTGTCTTTGAGGCATCGCCAGTCCCACAAATGGTAGAGAAAGGTGTTGAGGGGCCACTGAAGCCCCACAGACCAGCAGAAGCTGGGCCCAGAGCAGCAAGCAGGATTCCAGCAACTGTGGGGATGCGGGATGATGGAGTGGCCACAACCTGGGCATCAAGGCCAAACCAACTAGAAAGGCAGGTGTGAACAGACCCTCCCTCGAGGGAGGGGGCTTCCCTAAGTGAGGCTGAGGCCAGTGAGCACTCAACTGGATACGAGAAGGCAAGTCCCTTGGAGGGGAACAGAAAGAGGGGACCACAGATTGGAAGGCTGTGGAGGCTGAGGCGGCAGATACGGGGCCCAGGCAGCACTATGAGGAGGGAACAGCCAGCCTGTTCCCCCTCCCCCAGGAGGCCACAGGTGTGGCCGGGTCCCCAGAGGAGTTTGATTGTGACACTCCAGCCCCTCCCATCAGCCTTGGGAGGAACCCAGAGTGTTGGGGTCCTGGAACGATCACAGGTGCTGTGAATCCAGCTGGGGAGGCTCAGGGGTCTGTTCTGGGACCTTCTTTTCTGAAGCATCCACATCCTTCTGGTCACCAGCTGGAGCTGGGACGGGTGCATCATCTGGAAAGGGAGGGAGAACATGGTAGGGCTAGACATCGCAGCCCCTCCTCCCTCAGACCCGGAAATCTGGGCACCAGCTCCCTCCCTGGCCCCTGGGCCCAAGGGGCCAGCACCTGTGTCCGGGTGGAACTTCAGCTGTCCCTCGGGGCCGGGGGCTGGGTTGTTGTGGCTTTGCTGCTGCTGTTTCCTCTGTTCCATTTGCAGAACAGCCTGCAGGGGGTAGGGGAGATCACAGAGGCAAGATGGTAGGATGCTGAGTCTCCATGGCAACCTGCTGTGTGGTCATGAACCAGTCCTTTCTCAAGGGGCTTCAGTTTTTCTCTCTCATTGAGAGTTGGACTTAATACTAGTTAAAGATCCAGTTCTCCCTTACCTGTCATGGCTTGGGTCACACCTTGGGACAGGGAAGCCTCCTCCTCTCTCTTTGGCCCCCTCCTTTCCTGCTTACAACCTCACTGCCCTTATCCAACATGGCAGCTGCATAGCAGCCAGGGATAACAATGTCTGCCCTTAAGATGGCAGCAGCTGCCACCCATGGATCTACCGGTGATTTAACATAGTGGCCGCAGGCCTTCCCCATTTGTGGACACACTAGGACAAAGGCCACCAGGGATCAGAGAATGGATCCATTTCCCTGGCCAGTCACCTGCTGCAGCTCTCTCTTCTGGGCCTCCAGGCGGCCCTGGGAACGCCCCAGAGCCTCGGTTTCCTGGCTGAGGCGCTGGGCCTTGGCATTGAGCTCTGCCTCCCGGGCAGCCAGCTCCTCCTCAAAACGCCTCAGCTCCTCCTCCGTGTATGCAGGGTGCATCTCTACCGTCTGCAGGGTGAGAACAGGGGCCATCAGCAGGGGGACACCAGCCTTGGCCCTGCTGATGGAGGAGATTCAGGGAAGGTGGGGAGGCCTGGGTCAGGCGTGTGGATAGAGAGACCGGAACTGGGAAAGGGGATAAAGGCCAGAGTTGGGGGGAGATCAGAGATGGGGCGAGAGAAATTCCAGGGGGATGGGGGGACAGAGAGCTGGGGGTGGGAGACCCAGAGAGAAAGAGAAGTGGCCAGAGACCCTGAAGGAAGGGTTAGGTCTGTGAGAGAGGGATAGTCAGGACCCAGAGTATCACCCTTGTCCTCACCTCCCAGCCCTCCCCGGTGTCCCCAAACTCCTTCCTCTGCGTGGATGCGAGGAACTCCTCCAGGGTCACGAGGCGGTCCTGGTTGGTGTCCACCTGGGGAGCCAGGTAAGGGTAAGCAACGGAGCAGGACCTCCTTCCACCTACCTATCTCAGCCCCGCCCATGGCCCGGGTCCCTCCACTCACATTCTTCATCACGTGCTCGCGCATGCGCAGCCGCTCCTCCTCCATCTCCCGCATGTCATCGTCCTCATTCTTTGGGTCGTACACCTTCTCCAGCTGCAAGAATCAAGTGAAAGGCAGGATGTACTGAGAGGTCCAGGGTATGCTCCTTCCCAGGCTAACCTAACCCCCCCCCACACACAGAAAACTTCAACTCCCATCAGTCTTTGGGATACCCTGCCACTCCTGGCAGCCTCTTTTTGCCCCAGGGGCTGCTGGGAGTTGTAGTTTTCCCCCTGATCCCATATCCAGGGGGACCTGAGGGGACCCTGAGGATCCTAAGGGGACATGTGGTTGATATGGGCATCCTTTTCACCCACGGCCTCCAAGACGCTCACCTCCTTGGTGAAGAGGGCCTCCAGCTCCTGCTCATCCAGGACACCATCGCTGTTGATATCTGAGGAAGAGACAAGTTTTCTTGGGGGACTGAGCACAGAGTGGGTCAGGTCCCTATTGATCTGCTAAAGAAGGAATTCTGGCTGATGTGAGGTCAGTTCTCAGAGGATGGGCAACAGCAGGGTGGTTAGGATGGTGGCCTTCAGGCTTCAGTGCCCCACAGACCTGATGCTAGGACAGCCCTTTCCCAACCAGGATCTCAAGAATGGAATAGATGAAGGTCAGGCTCCATTGGGACCATTCGTGGGCCCACTGTCTTACAGAATAACTTGATCTCTAGCTACCAGTGATCTGGCCACAGGATCAGCCCCTTTGCCCAGGATCCAGGGGTGTCAGCGGCACCTCCTCGAGAACCACCCCAGGGCTGACTCCCATCGTCAGAGAAGCTTCTCCCTGCCAATGTGCCATTTGTGCCTTGCTCACTGACCCCATGGCAGTATCCAGGAACCCTGACCTTGCAAATCCAATGGTTAGTCTTTAGCCTGCACCTTAACTTGACTTTCTGCCTTTGGCTCCCAAAACATCATTCTCTCCTCTCCAGCTGCCCTTATTTTCCTTAGCCAGCCCTGCCCTCTCCCTGACCTCTACACTTTGGTGTACCCCAGGGGTCAGGGTTGTCCTTCCTATCAAATATTCACATTTGTCCATTATGGTTGCCACGAGTCAGATGGGCTGTTTAAATTTAAATCAGTATCAAATGAGATTAAGATTTCAGTTTATCAGTCCCACTTGCTACATGCTGCTGCTGCTGCTAAGTCGCTTCAGTCGTGTCTGACTCTGTGTGACCCCATAGACAGCAGCCCACTAGGCTCCCCTGTCCCTGGGATTCTCCAGGCAAGAACACTGGAGTGGGTTGCCATTTCCTTCTCCAATGAAGGAAAGTGAAAAGTGAAAGGGAAGTCGCTCAGTCATGTCGACTCTTCGCGACCCCATGGACTGCAGCCCACCAGGCTCCTCCATCCATGGGGTTTTCCAGGCAAGAGGACTGGAGTGGGGTGCCATCGCCTCCTCCGCTTGCTACATGGCAAGCGCTCAGTACCCATAAATGGCCAGTGGCTGCCATATTGGGCAGCAGAGAACATTAGCCATCATAAGGAGAGTTCAGTTGGTCCAGACTTCTTAGATGGGTTTCCCTCACTTTAATGCCATCCACAGCTGCCTCCACACTTGAATACCCCACTGCCTCCTCTCCATCGACACCTAAATGTCTAACAGACACCTCTAACTTGATGTGAACAGACTCGGCTCCCAATCTTGTTTGCTTTTCTCTCCCATTCCTTCCAGTTGCTCAGGCCAAATACCTCAGAGTCACCCTTGACTCTTGTTCTATTACAGTCCTCATCCAGTCCATCTCCAAGTCCTACCAGCTTGACCTTCAAGATGAATCCACAATCCTATCACTCTTTCCTACTTCCATGGTCCAGCCATCAGCATCTCATGACTTCTGACTTGGATCCTGGTTTTTGACCCTCGGCCCCTACAGCCTGTCCTCCACACAGCACCCAGCACTCAGATGAATCCTGTCAACACTTAAGACGGGTGGGGTCAGTTCCTCTGCTCAAAATCCTTTTTCAGCAGTAAAAGCAGTAAAAGCCCTCAGCAGTAAAAGCTCAGAGTCCTAACCCCTGGATTGCCAGGGAATTCCGTTTCTCATCATTCTTCTCTTCCAGCATTCTGTTCCAGTGACCTTGGAAAACCTACCAAATTCATTCTCCCCTGCCTGTGTTTGCTGTGCCCCTGATTTAGACAAGTATCTGTGAGGCTCCACCCCTCACTTCACCGAGGTCTTGGTTCAAATGTCATCTCTCTTGAGCTGTGCTGTGCCATCGGCTCCTAGCTACATGGGGCAAATGAAATTTAAATGAGCAACAGTCACATACAATGAAAAACTCATTTCCTTGACGTTATGATAAGTAAAATAAGCCAGTCACAAAGAAGACATACTGTACAATTCCACTTCTATGAAGTAGCTAGAAGAGTTAAAAATCATACAGAAAAGAAAACAGAAGTAACTATGGGCTGGGGGAAAGGTCATGCGGAACTGATGATTAACATAGAGCTTCAGTTTTTGCAAGGATGAAAACACTTGCATAACAATGTGAGTGTACTTAACTCTATTGAAATGTACATTTAAAAATGGCTAAGATGGTAGATTTATGTCAAGTGTATTTTATGTCAAGCATATTTTACTACAATCACAAAATTTAAAAAATTTAACCTAACTGCCCCCCGCCCACCACTATTCTGTTTCTTAGTTGTAAAACCCACATTTCAAGTCCTTAATTAATAGCCATGGGAACTAACGGAACACATGGGAACTAATAAGAACCTATTGTATGGCACAGGGAACTCTACTCAATACTCTAATGATCTACATGGGGAAAGTAGCTTAAAAAAATAAGCTAAAGAAAGCTAAAATGGAGTCACTTCGCTGTAGAGCAGAAATTAGCACAACACTGTAAATCAACTATGATCCAATAAAAATTAATTCAAAAAAAAGAACAAAGGATGCTGGGTTAATAAACTTCCTCATTCATTAAAAAAAAAAAAAGACTCTGCTGGTGATCCAGTGGTTAAGACTCTATGCTTCTACTGCAGGGGGCACAGGTTCAATCCCTGGTTGGGGAATTAAGATCCCATACTCTGTGTGGTATGGCAAAAAAAAAAAAAAGCAACATGGGGCTGGTGGCTGCTGTATTGGACAACACAGGCGTGGAACATTTCCATCAGCATAGAAAGTTCTGCTGGACAATGCTGATCTAGCAAACACCTTTCCAGACCAAGCTATCTAAAAATCATCACTGTAGACCCTAAATTCCAATGTCCTTGTTTCCATGGTACATGTGACTCTCTGATCATCTACTATAGAACCAACTTCACCAATTCTAAAAATGTACTTTTTTTGCCCCCCATATTTTATCATCCATGAAATTGGGAGGCATCTCATCATTGAGGGTGTGTCAGTTTAAAGGGCAGTTTGTATAAAATTCAAGTGTGTCTTACACTCCAAGGTCACTTTGATTCACTAAAATAGAGTATTTGCCTGATCACAGGCTCTGTGATGGCAGGGAGACTTTCTTTTGTTCACATCTGTATCCACAGGGTCTCCATGAAGCTCAGTCCTTAGAGGTCACTTAGCAAACATTTGTTGAATAAATGAATCAGACCCTGCCAAGCTCTGGTGACAGGCTATAGCTTTTGTGTTGGGATCCTAGGCACACCTGAGGGGGCCTGGCAAGAAGTGACATCAGGGGGATTCCCTGGTCGTCCTGTAAAGTTAGGACTCTGCGCTTTAACTGCCAAGGGCCCCTGGTTCAATCCCTGGTCAGGGAACTAAGATCCTGCAAGCCTCAAGGCACAGTCAAAAAAAAAAAAAAGTGACACCAGGATATGAGACCCAGCACGGGCCAGATTCAGAGCTAAACGCCTGGCATTTGGAGGTTTTGGAATTAGAGGCTAGACACAGAGGTGATGTTTCCAGACAGGAGGAGAATGAAGAGGAATATGCCCCTGAAGGGGCTCCCTGGAGGCCTGGTGACTAGGGTTCAGCACCCCCCAGAAACTCCGCCTTAGCGACAGGACCCCAGGGGCAACCGGGGCTTCTGGACTGCCATGAAGTGGGGGGTCCATGCCTAGCCAAGCCAAGCTCTGTTAGGGATAATGATCAGTCCTTAGAACCCAGAAGTCTGGTGTACCACAGAAGAAAGGACCAGCTCTTGTATGCAGATCCTGGCCCCAACAACAGGGGGCGACAGGGTCTTCCTGACCACCAGGGGCGAGGGGCTCAGTGCTCTTTGGCCTTCTTAAGCCCCATGACACCAGCATTCAGGCCCCAGACAGGTCAGACCTCAGTGTTAACCCGGGTTCTGGGACTCCCTCCCCACCTTACCATGCAGTATGAAGAAGGTCTTGGGGTTAAACCTGTTGGGGTCCAATCCATCCAGTTCCTCCCACACCTCCTTCAACTGAGCTTGGCTGCCCTGTGGAAGGGAGAGCCAGGGGCTCATGAGCAAGAAGGCTGGGTCCCACAGGATGAAGCTAGAGAACCCTTTACCCCCATCCCTCGAACAGCTTACCCCTCAAACAAGAAAACTACAACTCCCAGCAGCCCCTGGAGGTAGCTAGGCACATTAAAAGGGAGCTCTGCCTCAAGGTCTGCTGGGAGTTATAGTTTTTCAGCTGCTTTCTTGTGGAGCTCGGAAGGTTGGATGTGGTGGGGGCTGGGCATGAATGGGGGTCCTTACAGGCACATTGACTTTGGGGTGTTCTCGGTGCCGGCGCTGTTGCTCTTCCAGCTTCCTCTCCGCCTCCTTCCGCTGCTCTTCCCCCAGGGACTCCAGATAACGGCGTCTCTCGTGTTCCTTGAGCATTTCGTAGCGTTTGAACTCTTCATGATGGGCTGCGTCGTACTGGGCCAGGTCCCGAGTGGCCTGGGGAAAGGCAGCCGGTCATTCCCACCTCACCTCTATGCCTGGTTCCTAATTCCAACCTCTGAATGCCAGACCTTTGGCTCTGAATCTGGCCCCTCTTCCACCTGTGCTGGGTCTTAGGTCCTGATGTCGCTTCTTGCCCCATAACCCACAGCCTCCCCTCTTTGCTCAAAAAAAGATGAGGATGGTTACACAATAGCGACATGAACACCTTTTTCAAGTCCTCCACAATCTCAAGATCTTGGAGGAATAAATAATAAGGAATAACTCATGAGGTGGCTTACTAGGGAAAGCAATACAGTTAAGAGAGTAAAGATCATGAGGGCTGTAATTATTCTGTCCAGGGTTCAAATCTAGGCTCTGTTATGTGAGCAAGTCCCAGCCGCTGTATCACCTCGGGCAAGTCACTCATTCTCTCTGTGCCTCTGTTTCTGCCTCTGGAAATTGGAGATAACAATGCATAGTGGATGGTACAGGGTCCCCCACTCCCCACCTCAGAAGTCATCTGAACAGAACTGCAGAATGTGACTTTTCTTTGAAACAGGATCTTTGCAGATCTAATTAGGTAAGATGAGGTCCTGCTGGATGAGGGTGGGCCCTAATTCTAGGACTAGTGTCTACAGAGAGGACACAGAGAAAGACAGAGAACATGCCTGGACATGGAGTGAGGTGTCTACAAGCCAAGGAATGCTGGCAACCCCCAGCAGCTAGAAGTAGAAAGGAGCAAATGCCTCTTAAGAAACTTTGGTTTTGGCCCAGTGATACTGATTTTGGACTTCTGTCCTCCAGAACTATGAGAGAAACCTTTGTGTTGTTTTAAGCCATGAGTCTGTGGTAATTTGTTATATGGAAGCAAAAGAAAGCCAATACAGCTGTTGTGTGGGGAACAGACAGAGGTTCTCAACCTGGGCTGACTGCAGTCCCCAGGGGACAGCTGTCAATGTCTGCAGATATTGTTGGTCACAGCTTGGGGAGGTCTATTGGCATCTGGTGGGTAGAGGCCAGGAATGCTGCTAAACACCACACAATGCACAAACAGCCCCACAACAAATTATTCAGCCCCAAATGCCAAAAGTGCCAAGAAACCCTGTTGACGCGTGTGAAAGGCAGAAGCAAGAAGCCCATTTCTCAATATGACAGGGGTTGAGACCAGGAGAATGACAGTGGGGCTGGAGGAAAGCAGACAGTTTCCAGAACGATTTGAAAAGAAGCGGCAGAAACATCCCTCCGAGACAAGAGGTCAAATGATCGTTATTATCTTTATGGCCACTAGATGGCGCCCCAGTCAGCCAGGAAAGCAGGCTGAGGTTCAGGCTAGGAGGAAGGGAGTGGGTTCTGTCCAGAGGGTGCTGGGCAGCTACAGCAGGGCTGTGAGCCAGGGAGAAGCACAGGCCAGGGCAGGCCTGAGCATCCCTGGCCACTCCCCAGCCCCACACTTGGCTTTGCGCAGGAGACCCGGCTGTGGATCCCACTTCTCACACAAGGACTATTTAGTTGCTGGGCTGGTCTAACAAATTACAGTCAATTTTGTGGCTTAAAAACACACACACACACACACATACACACACAAAACACACACACATCATCTTACAGTATGGAGGCTGGAGTCTGAAATTAGTTTCAGTGGGCTGCAATTACAGTGCTGGCAAAGCCGTGCCTCCCTCCAGAGATTCTAGCAGAGAATCCTCTTCTTTGACTTTTCCAGTTTTTACAAAGACTTTTTTCTTGGCTGCCCCAATCAGGGAATGAACCTGCACCCTCGGCAGTGAAAGTTCAGAATCCTAACCACTGGACCCCCAGGGAACATCCAGAAGCAAACTCAATTTTTTTTTTTTTTTTTTTTTTGCCACGCAACACACTTGGCAGGATCTCAGCTCCCTGACCAGGGATGGACCCTGGGCCATTACAGTAAAAGCCTGGAATCCTAACACTAGAATGCCAGAGAACCCTATAAGGACCCTTTTGATGACACCAAGGGCCCACCGGGATAACTCAGGCTCATCCCCCATCTCAAGATCCTTGGCTTAATCACATATGCACAGGCCCTTTTGCCACAGCAGGTCATATAGTGAACAGGTAACATCTTTCGAAGGGCTGTTATTCTGCCTACAACAAGGACACAGAGGAGATCCCTGCCCCCCAGTCACAGGGGAGAGATCTGAACCCAGGTGTGACTGGAGCCAACTCCCCCCACCCCTCAACTCTGCCTTCCTGTATAGAATCTGGGGAAGCCGTTTTTAGGCACACCCAGCCCTCTGCACTCTGCTGGCCTCAGAGAACACCAGGCGGGGGTGAGCAGGCTCGTCCTGGGCTCCGCCCCCTTCTTCCCCTGACAGCAGAAGGCTGCCCTCAGTCCTCTGCCTTCAGGTCCCCTGCAAGTTACCGTCTGGATCAACAGCTCTAGGTCCCGGGCCTCAAATGTGTGCTGATTCTGAGGGTCCAGGTGTTCAAATTGCTTCAAGAGGTTCAGGTGATCCAACTGTACATCTGGATGAGAGGGAAGATGGGGAGGGGAAAGCACGAACTCATAGAATGTTCCTTCTTCCAAAATCCCTATCCTGGACTGGATGGGGTGGATCTGCTCTAAAGGATGTCACAGAGGACATCATGAATGGGCCTGGAGCAATCATGGAGGGCTTCATGGAGAAGGCAATGAACACAACTGAATCTGATACTGAAAATTATAATAACCACGATAATAACCAACATGTGTCAAATACATACTATATGCCAGGCCCTGCTCCCTAAACACATTAAATATATTAATGCATTTACTTTTCACAAAAGTCTCACATTGGTTCTGCAATTATCTCACTTTATGGATGCGGAAACAGGCTCAGAGAAGGAAAGGGACATCTAGGTCACCATCTAAGAAGAGGCAGAATGAAGATTAGTTGGGCTTCAGAGCACATGATACTCAACCTCCGTTATGGGTTGAACTGCCTTGCCCCTACATTCACACAGGGATTGAAGTCCTGACCCCCAGTATCACAGAACTTATTTGGAGACAGGGTTTTACAGAGGTGATCAAGTTAAAATGAGGTTATGAGGGTGAGCCTTAATCCCATGACAGGAGTCCTTATAAAAATGGAAAATCTGGGGGCCTCCCTGGTGGTTCAGTGGTGAAGAATCTGCCTGCTAACGCAGGAGACACAGGTTCCATCCCTGGTCTGGGAAGATCTCACATGCCTTGGAACAACCGAGCCTGACCGCTGCATCTAGCCTGTGCTCTAGAGCTGGGGAGCCTCAACTACAGAAGCCCACCGCGCCTGGAGCCCGTGCTCCACCACAAGAGAAGCCCCCGCACCGCCAACTAGAGGGTAGCCCTTGCTCTTTCACTGGTGGTCTGCCCAGCAAGGAAAACCCAGCACAGCCAAATAAATAAATTTAAAAAAAAATATTTTTTTTAAAGTACACTGTGCTAGGAAGAAAATTTGATCAATCTTCTACACAGATTTTACAAATCTGAAAAACCTGTAAAATCTGTAAAAACCCCGGAGGCCGCTCTGCCCCACTGGCCCCGCCCCCCGCCTCATCGACCCCGCCCACTGCACCACGCTCACTGGGCTCCTGCTGGGCGTCCATCTTGGCCTTGAGCAGCATCCTCAGCCTAGACACCTCCTGCCGCTTGAGCTCGTCCAGCTTGGTGCGGACATGGTGGCTGACGAAGTCCAGCTCCCGGCTCAGCTTCCCACTCTGCCCAGGAGAGAGGGGACACTGGTCAAGCCGCCCTCTCTGGAGCCTTCTGCAAGCTTTCTGATGCCTTCCTGGGGTGCCCCAAAGCCCCCAAGACAGGATCGACATTTAGATAAGGCTGATTCACACGACACGCCCCACCCCCGCCCCTGAAACAGAGAAAGTGCTGCGTGAGACTGTCTTTTTCTGGGGGCGGGCGGAGGCACAGAGGGGTGCGTCCACTTGCTCATAAGAGCGTGAGGGGGCGGGGCTGGGATTGGAACCCAGCACCATGCCACTCCAGAACCTGCCTGCCTACGTGGCCACTGTTTCTGACGTTATTTCCCACTTGTATGACCTTGAACAAGCTAGGTAGGCTCTAGGGCTGCTGTTTCTCTGGCTAGGCAGCGGGACGGGCTGGGCTCATTGATCTCTGGTTCCACCCATCCATTGTCGGGGGGCCCAGGTGAGTGGGGACAGATAAGAACCCCAGGAATGCTGGGAGGTTTGCAGGGAGCAGGGCTGCCCTCCTCATCAGTCCTGGGTCAAGGAGTTTGGGGTAGGGCAGAGGAGAGGGGCAGGCAGTTGTGTGTGTGCCTGTGTGTGTGTGAGTGAGCATTCTTTTCAAGAGACTGCTTAGGGATGGGGCAGGATATGGGCTCAGGGCTGAGTCAGTCCAGGGATTGAGACCCAGGCCTCTGGGAAGGACAAACACTGCTACCAGGACCTCAGGGTCCGCCTCTGTAAAATGGGGAGAATCCCAGCTCCTCTGGAGGCTTAAGGTGAGTTAGAGGAGATGTGCGTGATGACAGCATCTCCTGTGTTTTGAATTCTTCCTGTGTGGACAGCACTTTGCTGAGAACTCACAGAACCATACCTTGCAGAGTGCAGACTGAGGACAGCCACTGTGCACGTCCATGTCTTTTACACGTCTTACCTCAGACAGTCCTGTCATCCCCCCACTTTACAGATGGGAAAACTGAGGCACAGTGAAGGGAGGCCACACAGCTGATAGAGCTGATACTGGAAGCCGTGGGCCACCCACATCCACACTTAACCACACATTCTGTCTCCCCCCGGCCCAGATCCTTTCCCAGCTGTGCAGCCTGGAGAAGCGACTTCTTCTTCCTCAGGCTCAGACTCTGCCCTCTGAGCACGCATCCCCTCATCCGCACCCAGCGTGCTCGCACCTTGATGTCCTCGGCGTTGGCGGCCTGCAGCTTTTCCCGGAAGTGCCCGTCAGTCTCCAGCACGTTGATGACTTCCTGGAGGTACCGGTGATAGTACAGGCCTGTGTCCTGGGGCAACAAAGATGAACATAGCAGTGCCAGCTCTGGCCCCCTCTCTGGTTCTGCCCTGCAGATAGGACCCAAAGACCACCCTACAACCCTAAGCAGGAGATCTCCCCCCTGGGACACAGGCTCTGGAGCCAGCAACCTTGGTTGCTCTGTAATCCCAGACAAATCACCCAATCCTATGGGCCTCAGCTCTCACCTCCTCTTAGGTCTGTCTGTGCTGGAGATGAAATTAAAATCACATGGGTAAACACTATGCCCCCAGAGTGGACATAATGCAATTTATTGGCAAGCAGTGAAACACACAGTCATTCATTCAACCAGCATTCACCCAGCCCCTACCATTTCCTAGGCACTGTTCAAGAGAACACAGCCAGTGAACCAGACAGACAAAAACCAGAACTTCCCTTATGGTCCAGTGGTTAAGAGTTTGCACTTCCAATGCAGGGGGTGAAGGTTCAATCCCTGGTCGGAGAACTAAGATCCCACATGCCTCATGGCAAGGCCAAAAAAAGACGACTGACAAAAATCCCTGGGCTCTTAGTCCTAGCCCTGCCACTTTCCTTTTCCAGGATCTCACTCTTCCACAGACAATAAAATTCCCTACTTCTCAGAACTGTGGTGAAAAGTAATGAGATAAGAAGCCTGACACATAGTAAGGCTTTAGAAGACACTCAGTCTACCCCGGTGATCATTCATTACACATATTGAGGAAAATAAATGGGAAGAGATCGCCCATCTATGTCACCATGGGTTTAATAGCGTCCTACTGCTGCTGCTCTAACAAATATCACAAACTAAGCGACTTAGAGCCATAAAAATTTATTCTCTTACAGAGTTCTGGAAGTCCCAAGTCCAAAGTGGTTCAGCAGGACTGGGCTTATTCTGGAGACTTAAGGGAACAGTCTGCTTCCTTGCCTTTTCCAGCATCTAGAGGCTGCCTGCATTCCTTGGATTATGGCCTTGCCTCACTCTGACCTCTGCTTATATCATCACATCGCCTCTGACACTGACCTTCTTGCCTCACTCTTCTAGGGGACCCTTGTGGTTACACTGGGCCCATCTGAACAGTACAGGACATAGAGAAGGAAAGAGCCAACCCACTCCAGTATTCTTGCCTGGGAAATCCCACAGACAGAAGAGCTGGTAAGCTCCAGTCTATAGCGTCGCCTCTAAGAGTCAGACACTACTTAGCGACTCAACAACAACAGAATACTACAGTATACAGAACTGTGAAAAAGAAAGTGAAAAGTGTCAAGGAGAAAAACAAAGTTTGCAGCATGGAATGTGTTTGCAACTCTTTCTGCACATGGATACACCCCTGTGTATGTCAGCAACTAGTCATATATATTCAGATACAGGTTTTTTTGTTGTTGTTGTTTCATAAAAGTAAAGTCATACTCTGTAAACAAACAAACAAAATACAGGATTACTTCGCCACCTAACTCAGTCATACCTGCAAACACTCTTTTGCCATATATGTACAGGTTCTGGGCATGGACATCTTTGGGGGCCATCATTCAACCAAACAGAGTAGGCTGAATCCCAAATCTGCCAATGACTAGCCATGTAATGACTAGTAGGACTGCTAGGATGCCTACTTAAATTTAAATTTCAGCTAAAACAACAAATAACTTTCAGAATATGGATACTGCATGGAGGGCACTTATATTAATAATTATTCATTGTGTATCTGAAATTTAATTTTAAGTGAGCATCCTTTATGTGTGAAGTCTTGCAACCTTAGTCCTTGGTCAACATACTTAACTCTGTGCCTCAGTTTCCTCACCTGTAAAGTAAGGTTAAGGAATACCTACCTCATAGGGGCTGTTATGAGGATTAGAGGAGTTAATATCGCTAAATATTTAACTCAGAGCTTAGTTGTTGTTCAGTTGCTCAGTCATGTCTGACTCCTTGCGACCCCATGGACTGCAGCATGCCGGCTTCTCTGTCCTTCACTATCTTCTGGAGTTTGCTCAGTCATGTTCATTGAGTCGGTGATGCTATCTAACCATCTCATCCTCTGCTGCCCCCTTCACTTTTTTCCTTCAGCACTTAGTAGGAGATGTCAGTGTTATTATGACTGCTGTCATTGCCATTTATAACCTTCTGTTAGCCTCAGAATAAAGTCTCCACCATGGTCCACAAGGCCATGTGTGATCTGCCCCAGTCCATCTCTGACCTAGTCTCCCCTTATTTCACTCTGTCTCAACCCACACTGGCCTCCTCTATGTCCTTCTACTCACTCTGCTCTGCTCCACCATGCAGCCTTTGCACAGGCTGTTCCTTCTGCCTGGAATATTCTTCCCGGCACTCCAGATCTCAGTTCAAATGATCCCTCCTTCCTCCCTGACCATCACTGCTGGTGGTTCATTCTCAGTGGCCCCAGCCTTTCCAGTGGTCTGTGAGGGCAGGGGGCTTGCTCTAAATGAACTAAGGGAAAGGGAACTCAAGCTGCACTTCTGTGTCTGCAGAGAATTCACGGGGCAAAGGTCTCAGCTGCTGGGTGGGGACCTGCCACACCACACACAGGAACTCAGAATGATCTGTTCCAGAGACAGCAACGTGTCCATTCCTATTGGAAGCTGTAGGATTAGGCCACGAATCAGGGCACTAGCCTTGAGGATCTTTTAAAGTTCCAAATTCCCTAAGACCATAGGTTTCATAATGTTTGATAGACACGCATTGGAATAAATGAGCATTTTCCATGCCCCATGCCCATACTTTAAACTACAACTCCCATGAGCTCCCTGACGTGAGAACACCGCAGTTAGCTAACATCACCAGCTCAGCGTGCTATTGGGAAATGTAGTCCCCCCCCCCACCCCCGCCCAGCTTCCTTCTTGAGGGGACGGCGTCTTAAAGGAGCAGAGATATTTAGGTGTGTGTGGGGTAGGGGGCAGGGGCCCGGGGGCGGGATGCAGATTTTCTATCTAAAATCTGACCTGATTACCCGTACCTCATAGTCAGAGAGAGACTTAAAATCTGACACACACGCACACACGCCCTCAAGTTTTTCAGCACGTCAAAGCCCTGGGACCGCAAAGAATGGCAGGCAAACTCCAAGCCACATCCGTAGCCACCCATGGGCCACGGGGTAGCGGGAACTGTAGTACCACTGCAAACACGTGGCTGGTAGGCAGGGAAGGGCCACTCACAGGGCTCTCGGTCGCGGGATTCTCCTCCTTGGGCTCCCCCCGCTCCAGGGGCACGGCCAGAACAGCGCGCAGCAGCAGTAGAGACGGCAGGAGGAAGAGGGCTGCACGGGGCCCAGAGGGAGGCATGGCGGCGTGGTCTGTTGGGGGCGGAGAGGTGGAATATGTTTGTCCCAAGACTACTCTTCCCCCTGGACCCAGGAGTCTGGACTTCCAGCGCCGCTCCCCGCCCCCTTCCAAGAATCAAGATTCAAAGCGTTTAGTTCTCCGGACCTAGGAGTCTGAGCCTTCAGCCTTTCCTTCCTCAGACCCAGGAGTCCTGGCTTCCAGCATCCTCTTCGACTAGACTCAGGAATCCTGGATCTCGACCCCCTCTTTCCCTAAACCCAAAGGTAGAGGCCCCAGCCTCCTCTTCTCCCAGGACCTAGAGGAACCGGGGTCCTCCCCCGAGATCCAGTTTTCCAGCCTTCCTGTCCCCCGCCTCCCTTCTTCCCAGGACCGAAGAGTCTAGGACGCTCCAGCCCCTTACCTCTCCTTCACCGCAGAGGGCGTCTTCCTGGCATAGAACCTCCGGAGCTTTCTCGGTGTTTTCCCCCCTAGGCCACGCCCACTTTCCCGCAGAGGACCCGATCTCAGCAGCCTGATTGGTCCACGCTGGCTCCAGGTTCCTCGGGTCCCTGTCTAGCGGCTCCGCCCCTCGTCGAAGTCGCTGGCCTTTTCTCGAAAGCCTAGCCTCCTTTCTTGGAAGCCCTACCTTTTGACGCCACATATCCTGCTTTTTAGGAGAAAGAATGGAGACTTTCAAAGAGAACTACAACTCCCACTCGGACCGGGGCAAAAATGAGTCTACTTCCGCGGGCATCTTGGCCTCTTTGGCTCATGGGAGTTGTAGTTTTCTCATTTATTTTCTCGCCTGGACGTGGCTGTAAATTACAGATCGATAGTAGTTGGCACAGGTCACATTATAAGTTTCTTATGTAAGAGAGAAGAGAGCTTGCGACGAGGCCCCTGGCAGGTCCCTTTAAGGAACACTTGTACGTTCTTCCGATTTAGAACCCCTGGAGCGGGGTTGCCTGGCTGCAGCAGAGCCCAAACGTCATTGCTTTGTTGGAAGTGGAGCGTGGGGTGGGGTCAGAAGGGAGGGGATTAGGGCAGGTTCCAAGGGAATCCCCCGCCTTCCCTCTGAGCCCTCTTTTCTCCCCTGCTTACTTCCCAGAGAGCCAGAGATTATGTCCCTGATTTCCAAAGAGACGGTCAGTTATGTTTAGAAATTGGTCAGACAGGCAAGGAATTGAGGTGTGAATGTGAAAAGCCTCTCCAGGCAGGAGAGGAGGAGAGGTCTCCAGGATCCCAGGCAGGTGGGTACTGGGGGTCTAGGATCACTGAGGATGGGGTGTTTGGGGTCGAGTCCTGAGTCCTCATGTCTGGGTGAAAGAGAGTTAGGTATTGGGGGAAGAGCAAGCTGGACTTCTGGGCTACTGATAGTGGTGAAAGCTGGAAACAGGCTTCAGGGTGCCTAACAAGTACTGACACTGGAATTTGGGTTGTCTGGGTCCAGGAGAAAATCCCAAGCTTAAGATCAGGTGTTGGAGGGCAGCACCTATTGGGATGTTGGGTCTGGTTCCTGACTCCTTGTTTTGCTTCTCCAGAATGTCTCGGAAAAGTGATACATGGAAGAAAGAGTGAGTGGGGGAAATGGGATGGGCAAGGGTAGAGATGGAGGGGGCAAGGGGGCACTTTGATTATGCCCACACCTGCTCAGCAGCTCTTCTTGTGTGCCTTGCAGGGAGGGGCTGGGGGCTTGGACTTCTGGGTCCTACCTACCTAACAGGAGGGAGCTACAGATGAGGACCCCTGGGTCTGAAAGAGGAAGGGCTGGAGGCTTTGAGTCCTGAGATAGGAGGGGCTTGAGATCTCTGACCCCTGGACTCTAGATAGGCCAGAGCAGGGAGAAAGAACTTCAGCACTGGCGGAGCAGACTCAGGTTCTACCTCTTCTGTGACCTCACAAGTGTTCAGAACCCTAAGTTGGGCAGCGGGAAGATGGGGAAGGGCTCTTGGGCAACAGGGGTGCCCTGCTTGCTGTCACTACGAGCCTGCACCTCTCTCAGGGCCCTGGGAGATGAGCTTGCCGCTATGAGACTGCAGAAGCTGGAACAGCAGGTACTGTGCCCAGGAATCCTGCCAACCCTCCCCTTCTATCTTCCATACCCCCTAAGGAGTCCCACCCCCAGGACTTGCTCTGGGACTCCTGGTCCTCATTGGCTCTCTCGGAGTCTCAAGTTTTGCAATTGGGAAACAAGTTTTGCAATTGGGAAAACAGGAATTCGGAATCCTCGGGAAGCAAATCTTGGTGACGAGACTCCAAAATTTCTAAGGAACAAGGGTTCTGGGTCCTTAGGACTCCTAGGTCCTTCGGGAGGAGGGGCCTGGATGCCGGGACTCAGGGTTCTATGGAAGGAGTTGCTGAAAGACTAAAGGCCTGGAACTCTCCCACCTATGCAAGGACTCCCCTTGCCCCAGGCCCCCTTTCACCCCAGTCTTCCGGTTCGGTTCCTAGACCCCCACCCCACCTCTTTCCCGCTCCTGCAGTGGCGTCTGTTTGAGAAGAAGCAGCGACGGAAGCGCCAAGAGCCCCTCATGGTTCAGGCCAATCCTGACGCTTCACTGCGGCTGCGGAGACCGAAGCGGCGGGAGGAGCGCTTCTCGGCTGCCACCGGTGAGGAAAGGTGCCCCTGAGTCCCGCAGGAGCTCAGGCTGGAGGGAGGGGCCTGTGGGAGTGTGGTGGGGGGTGGGGCTAAAGGGCCTAGAGGGGAGGAGCCCGGCGGAGCGCGTGGAGGGTGGCGGCGCTTTGATAGAGCTCGGGGGCGGGGCCTGATGGGTCCGTGGGCGGGGCATGTGAGAGTTCGGGGAGTACGGGGTATGGTGCAAGTAGAGGCGGGCCCCGAAAGAGTTCTGGGATTCGGCTAGGGTGGAGCCTGGGAGAGCCGAGGACCGCCCAGAGTGTGCGGGTGGGGACCGGGTCTAAGGAGTCGTGGAACTCGTGGGCTTGGGAGAGTTGAGGGAGGTGCCTGGAAAAGCGCCGGGACACAGCTCCGAAGAAACCGGAGGGCTGAAGTAGGCAAAGCTCCGGGGCCAGGCCTGGGTAATTTAAAGCCGATTTATTGGAGAGTCCGCGTGGGATTGTTTACACACGGAATCGCGACAGTTTAGTGGTAGGGCTGTGCTTGTTTGAGTCTTGGGGTTCGGGTTCTGAGTGGGTCTCGGGGGTTTGGGTAGTCAAATCAGGGACGAGGTTTGGGAGACCAGCGAGGAGGCGGATCTTCTCAGAGGACCAGGATTTTGTGCTTCGTGTTAATGGGCCTCGCCACACCTTCTCCCAGACCCCCTCCCAGGCCCCAGGAACCCTTTCCTTCAGGAGAATGTGCCAGAGGCGCATTTGTGCACTGAATCCCACGGTATCCTGGGCACCGTGAGCTGCGGTGGAGATGGCAGTGGCGAGCGTGAACCTCTGTTACTGGCGACAGAAGCAGGTAATCTAAAATCCTTGGGCGGTTGATACCCCAGAACTCCACTCCCCCTAGAATTCAGGAGTCTAGAACCGCTCAGTCATTGCTGTCTCCAAAGGACCCCCGGGGGCCCGGATATGCTTCACCGCAAGGAGTCCTGGTCATGAACCTTCTCCTCCAATACCCAGGAATCTGCATCTCCAGCCCTCTTCCTTCCCTGGTATCCAGAAATCCCCGTCTCCAGTTCTCCCTTTCTTGACTACCAGGCAGCTCTGATCTGGAGTTGGAGGAAGTCTCCGTGGAGGATGTTCCTGCCTTGCCGCCTCCTTGTGAAGAGCCTCCAGGGACTCTTCTGACGCGCAAAGGTTGGCCACCCCACCAACGATCTGGTAATTTCTGCGACACCGGGTGAAATCTGGTCCACTGGTCCATGTGGCACTTCCTCCCCCTTTTCTGTAATATCTCTGTTGAGATATATTTCACGTATTATACAAATTCACTCATCTAAAAATTTACAACTCCATGGTTTTCAGTGTATTTACCGAGATGTGCAACACACAGCACAATGAATTCTAGACTATTAATTATCATTACCCACAAAAGAAAACCCTAACATTTTATCAGTCACTGCCCCACCCCCCCATTTCTCCCAGACCTAAGTAACTACTAATTTAATTTGTGTCTCTTTAGACTCTTCATATGTAGAATAATACAGTTTATAATCTCTTGTGATTGGCTTCTTTTGCTTGCTTCAATATTTATCTATTTTGTAGCATTATCAGTATTTCATTCCTTTTTCTTAATAATATTCAATGGTAGGGACATTTCCTTTTATTCTCATGACTTGACCAGTGATTTCAATAACAGGACTCTGGGTTATAACCCCAGATTTGCTCCCTCCTCCCATTTTAGTTCCCCAGTCTCCCGGATGCTCTCTCTGGGACAAAGAAAGGACTCTAATCCTTCCCTGTCCTTAGATCCAGGGCAGTCACAGACTTCTCAACTTGTATAGACTCCTGTGCACATAGGGGAGGAGGAGGATCTGGCAAGTGAGGCTGATGATAAATAAGTAGGAGTCGGAAACCTGGGAGTTCTGACCTTCTCCGGCTAGCACTGATGACCTTGTCCCAAGCTCCTGGGACCCAGGTGTCCTGAGCTCAGTCTTTTCAGGGCTTTTTCTACCCCTTAGGCGCCAGTGCTGAGGACAAGAGCAAATTACAGGATGTTGGAAATGAATACGAAGTGCCCAGTGCCAGATCAAGCCCTGGAATGGATGGTGACAGTGGCCTTGGAGACTTGGCTTCCAACAAGGTGGGAGGTGGCACAGCCAATAAGGATATAGGAGGAGGAGGGCTAGTCTCAGGCTCGCGGGGCGCTAAAATTCTGCAGCCCAATCAAGGGCCCTTTTTACTGGTGGGTGGAACCTGTTATGTCTGTGCTAGCGGAAGTTCTTTGTGTGTACCATTTATTTTCAACCTAGAGGATCAGAATTGATGTGAGCATATACCTTAACACCCAGCCCACCAAAAGGCAGTGAGCTTTGGAGAGGGTGAAATAGTGATAGGAAAGGGCCAGGTGGCACTCATTTTGATATGAATGAAAGCGAGATAGTTTCAGTTGAGAGGATCTGGGCGGTATTATATGTTAATATATAGACCCTGTGAACAGGGGTATTAAAGGAATGGGCAGTGCTTTCAAGAGGATTCTCCAATCGGTAGGTGAAATGGGTGTGGCTAATGTTACTGGCCAATCAACAGATGAAGCGATCTTGGGGTTTGATCTTGGGCATCCAACCGTACTGGCCAATCAGCAGGCGGCTGAGATATTTGACCAATAGACAGAAACTTGGTCGAGAGACAGCCTAACCCTGAGCTGGGATGGCCAATCACTAGTTGGCATAGCGGGGAGTGGGGGAGAGTGAGCGGGCTGAGGAGGGCGAGTCTGCTGTCTCTCAACTTGAATTTGGTGCGTGGGCCAGGGTGAAGACCTGGAAGAGAAGAAAGAAGAGCCGGAGTTTACCATGAGGAAATCCCCAGGGACGGCCGTCGAAGTGGTGTCCGAGGGCGCGTGCGGTGTGGGCAGCAGCGATGTGGGGAGCTCGCCCCACACGCCTCCCTGCGCCCCAGGCCCTCGGCTGGGCGAAGACATGAAAGCATATGTGCTGCGGCCAGCGATGCGCGGTCGCACAGTGCAGTGTTGCATCAGCCGCGACAAGAGCGGGGTAGACAAGGGCATGTTCCCTTTCTACTATCTCTACCTGGAGGCGGCTGATGGCCGGAAGGTGTGGTCTGGCAGCTTGGAAACAAGTCCCTCCTCTCAGGGTCTGAGTGAGGTCAAGACTGACTTAGGCGAATCGAAGCCTTGCTCTTCATTGAGCTAGGACTAATCAGCTCCAACACCAGGCCCTGCCCTTCAGAGAACTGGGCTCCTTTATACTCAGAGCCCAGTGGCAAATGCCCTCCCCATCCCATAACCCAAGGTTGTCCACTTTCAAATAGAGCTGGCCTTTCTCACAGGTAGGCCACGCCCCCTCAGAGTCCCAAACCCCACCCCTTACAGACCCTCCAGGTATTGGCCACCTTTTGTTGGGGCTTCCCTGGTAGCTCAGCTGGTAAAGGATCCGCCTGCAATGCAGGAGACCTCGGTTGGATTCCTGGGTCAGGAAGATCCCCTGGAGAAGGGAACGGCTACCCGCTCCAGTATTCTGGCCTGGAGAATTCCATGGACTGTATAGTCCATGGGGTCGCAAAGAGTTGGACACCGCTGAGCGACTTTCACTTCTCACTTGGTCCAAATCTAAGCCCTAGTCCCACCCAATCCTGAGACAGGCCCCAGCCCCTCTCAGGAGCTAAGCTTCTGCCTTCGTGGATTTTCCATTGATAGCCAAGTTATGCCCCTCTCAGTCAGGTCATTTCTCTCACGTGTGACCGCCTCTTAATTATTCATTCTCCCCCAGAAAGACACTTTTGCTCTACTCAGTGCCAGACCGGGTTTTCACAGATGAAACACTAAAGTCCTGCTGTAATGTTCCAAGTGAGGCCCTTCCCTATTCTAAAGCCAGGCCCTGCCTGCCAGGCAAGTTCGCCCCCTGCCTTGGCTTTCCCTCAGCCCTGGACCCAATATCCGAAGGAGTAGGGGGAGATATTAAGATATGAAATGAGGCTCCCTTTTCGGGACCCAGCTGACTTCCTGCATCTACCAGCAAGCCTCAATTCAGTTGCTCAGTCATTTTCGACTCTGTGACCCCATGGACTTCAGCATGGCAGTCTTCCCTGTCCACCAACTCCCAGAGCTTACTCAGACTCATGTCCACTGAGTCATGATGCCATCCAACCATCTCATCCTCTGTCATCCCCTTCTCCCGCCTTCAGTCTTTCCGAGCATCAGGGTCTTTTCCAGTGAAGAAGACCTTTGCATTAGGTGGTCAAAGTATTAAGACTTTCAGCTTCAGCATCAGCATCAGTCCTTTCAGTGAATGTTCAGGACTGATTCCCTTTCCTTTCCAGCAAGCCTTAGGACACTTACTGCTCTATAACCCTTTCCTCTGTCTTGGGACATGGTATTTCCTTGTTTTTGGACCCCTATGTGCACGCTAAGTCGCTTCAGTCCTTTTCGACTCTGTGACCCTATGGGTAGTAGCCCACCAGGCTCTTCAGTCCAACGGATTCTCCAGGCAAGAATATTGCAGTGGATTGCCATACCTCCTCCAGGGGATCTTCCTGACCCAGGGATCAAACCCGCATCTCTAAGGTCTCCTGCATTGGCAGGTCGCTTCTTTACCATTAGCACCACTGCCACCAGGGAAGCCCCAATCTTTGGGCCCCTAGCTCTAGCCAAATATCAGAAGTCGATTCTAATGGACTATTTATCACATCCACAGCACTTCCTTCTGGCGGGGCGCAAGAGAAAAAGGAGCAAAACCTCTAATTACCTCATCTCTCTGGACCCTACAGACCTGTCTCGGGATGGGGACAATTTTGTGGGCAAAGTCAGGTGGGCAGAGTCCTGATGTGTGTGCTAAACAGGTGACAAGGGGTGGGAGGAAGGGGAGGATTGAACTACACTTCCCAGCGGTCCAAGGGTACAAGTTCCACCTGCTCTAGAACTTTTTCTCTTAGGGACTGATGGGTTATGTAGTCCTTCAAGTTATAACTCCAGGGTGGTTGGGAATAGAACTGAAGACTTCAGAGGCAAGACTGGCATTAAAGACATTTGATTTCTTGAGCGGCAGTGAGCTGGGATTCCTAAGTTCCTGTGACAGAAGAGGGTTGGTATATGTGAGTTCTGTCTTAGAGGAAGAGTGTTGCTAAAGGCCCAAGGCAGGAGCCTAAAAATCCTTCTCCCCAAAGGAAGAGAGGGACCTGGGACTGGTACATGGAACATAAGTCTTATGTAAGAGGATGGATCGAAAGACTTGATGACATAGGAAAGCAGTTAATGTACGGCAAAACAGGAATAACTATTGTTTTTATTCTGACCACTTCCCTTCTGGAGCAGATCTAATGTCTTGGGCACCAAGTTCAGCATCTTCGACAATGGGGTGAATCCGGAAAGGAAACATTTTTTTCCGGAGACTGCTCGGATCAGGGAGGAGCTGGCGGCTGTATGTTATGTGAGTGTTCGGGGAGATGAGAGAGAGGAGTAGAACGGTGGGGAGGGAGAAAGAAGCAGGCCAAGTGGAGCATACCACCCTCAGGAGACCAACGTCTTGGGATTCCGAGGGCCCCGGAAAATGAATGTTGTTATTCCGGAAATCAACGCCCAGAACCAGAGAATGTGTGTCCAGCCAGAAAATGTGAGTCCACCAAACTTGAGAATCTCTGGGTCAGTGGAGGAGGAAGGTCTGGGGACCGGCCATAGGTGCTAAGAGGAGAGGGGGCCGATGGGTTACATAAGGTCACATAAGCCGGGAGGATTTTGTCAGATTTATATGCCTTAGGAAGGTAAAACTAGGGACTCAAAATTCTGCGTTCGGAGGAAAAAAACTGGTTGGTAGTTGGCTAACCACGCCCCCTACTTTACTCTTTAGGCACAGGAATCGCTCCTGAGTCGCCTCCAACGGGGGGCCCGGCAGGGCCTGGTCCTGCTGCGAAATAAAGCCCCATCGTGGAACGACAAGAGCGGCGCCTACGTGCTCAATTTTCATGGTCGGGTCACGCGGGCCTCGGTCAAGAACTTCCAGATCGTTTATCCGGATGACCGTGAGCTGCTAGGAACCGATTTACCTGGGCAAGGGGGCAGGAGGAGAAATACTTCTCCCATTAGCATTTGAGCGTTTTGTAGGGAGGGCCGACTCCACGCTTTTGCAAAGCCTATTGGGAAGTGTAGTTTACAGGGCTGAGGGCCATGTAAACACGCTTCCGGGATTCTGGGCGGAGTAAGGGCGCCGCACAGCCTCTCGGGAGTCGTAGTTCTCGCGGCTCAGAGGCCCGCGGCAGGGAAATAACACACCCTCAGTTCCTGACTTCTTCTTCAGCGGACTACCTCGTGCTCCAGTTTGGTCGTATAGCCCCAGACACGTTCACCATGGACTTCCGCTTCCCACTTTGCCCACTCCAAGCCTTTGCCATCTGCTTGTCCAGTTTCGATGGGAAGCTAGCATGTGAGTAAATTCAATAAATAACTCTCATCAGCTTCTGTGCCTGCTCATTTAAAGAAAGGGCCTCAACATGCCTTCTTTTACATGAATTTAGTAATAACCAATACTTAACTAGATGGCGCCTGGGCGCCCCGTTCTGTGCTCTAGGGAGTGGGCTGTTGGGCAACACTTGCTCTCCTGAAATCATAGTCCGATTATGGGGGATGGGTCTTAACAAAAATTCAAAAGGCTCGCCTGCTATAAAGGAGGAAAACATAAGGGCTGGGTCAGAGCAAGGCACTTCTAAAATATATATACTTTTATGCTACATTTGAACAACCACAAGGAACTAGCTGAGCCAGAGAGGTCAGGGACGGGCACATCAGGCAGTAGCTCATACAAAAGTGGGAGGGAGATTGGTGGTTTTCCAAATCAAAGGGTGGTGTAGCATCAGCCTGGGGAACCAGTGGGGAGGGGCAGGGTATGAGGCCGGACCAGGTGCAGGACATTTGGAGCACTCTTGTTTGAACTGCTGAGAAGAGTTTTTTAAGTTGGAGCAGTAAGTAGGATGGGTAATTGAAGACATGCATGTGTGGGTGAAAGAATAGTTACAGTAGTAGCCAACACTTAACATGTTATTTAACATTGTTTTAATTATGACTTATTTGCGGATCTTATAAACTCATAATGTATGTGCAGTTGTTAGCCGCATTTTACAGATAAGCAAACAGTTTATGGACATAGGATTTATAAATGTGAAATCAGGTACATTTATAAGTGTGAAAGCCTTGGGGAACTCACCACATCTGCCAGTAGGGAGGATAAGTCTGTATTTCAGGAGCACACAGAAAACTGGAGCTTAACCCTTTTTTAGGAATTAGTGAGTTCAGCTCCCAGACCCTTTGGGGAGATAACTGTCCTAGGTTTAATAAAATGTAGGCAGAAGCAAAAAAAAAAAAAAAACAACACCCTGACAAAACCCACCAGTCCTTAAGTTCAAAAGAAGCCTCAGGATGGGAAGAGGCAGATTCAAGGGATGATGGGAAATGTAGTTTATCCTCCATGGACGTGCTGGCCTTTATGTATTCCCCCCTCAACTGTCTTGGGGACTGAGTAGTGGATGCTGTCAGTTCAGACACACACAGAGACGCTGCTTACTACAAAAAGCTTTATTATGTAAACTAAGATTCAAATAAATAAATAGTTAACACAAAAACTACTGCACATTAGCCACGCCTCCCACTGAGGTCTAGGCTAGGAGACACACAGGGAGGGGAGGGAGAGGCCAGCGCGTGGCTCAAGGGCGTAGCCTGGATCGGGGACATTGGTGAGGTCCAGGTAGGGGTAGGGACGGTGGCCAGGGAAGTGGGAGGGTTCCCAAGACGTGCCCAGGCCCTGGCCCGGGCAGCAGGGGTGAGGTAGGGACCCAGCTCCTCTTGGACCTGGGTGATACGTCGGGCGAAGCGGCTTCGATCCCGGGCGAACTGCTCCCAGGGGCCTCTGCGGGCAGCCTGGGCCGGTCCTGCCCAGACAACCAGGGGATGGACGGAGACCTTCTCAGAGAAGCGCACCTGGAGATGGACGGGCACAGACATGGGGAGACACACACATACACACACGAGATACAAAGGGCCACAGGTGGGGAGGTGGGGAGAAAGAGAAACAAAAGAAAAATGAGTTGCACAACAACGCTTGTCATCTGGCTTGTTATCTTGCCTGCCAAGGGATTCCCCAGCTGACTCACTGAAGGTAGAGGTGGGGCCCTGGGGTTGACATGAGCTCAGAGGCTCCTTCCTCCCACAGGGGCCAGCCTCTTGCAAAGGATTGCAGTAACGTGAACACAGCCCTCCCAATGGAGCTCACATGCAACCCTCTGCAACACGCAACCCTCTGCAACACGCAACCCTCTGCAACACGGGGGAGCCAGGAGTCAGGGCCTCCAGTCCTTTGGTCCCCAGGCCCAGGAGTGCCAGCTCCCAGCCCTCTCCTCCCTAACCTCAAGGATCTAAGTTCTCAGTACCCACCTTTCTGGTCTTTGGGAGAGGTTCAAGGTCCGGATGCCTGGTGGGGGTTTGTGCAGACTTGAGCCGTCTTTGTAGTCGGAGGGGCAGCCGAGGAGGAGCCCAGGGAAGTGGGGGCTTCTCTCCAGGTAGATAGATGGCCACTCGGAAGGGGCAGAGCTCAGCTTCTCCCCACTTCTCAGCAGCTTCCCCTCCGTCTGTTTTCTCTCCAGGCTGATAAATCTGGTCCCTGAGAAGGGCACTCTGGGTCTGAAGGGAGGGGCTGGGTCCCAAGTCAGCTGCTCCTGATTCATCATCTTCATCCTCATACTCATCTTCTTCCTCTGTGTCTTCTCCTGGTTGATACACCCAGGTGCTCAGGAAGGTACTTGTCAGAGAGATGGAAGAGGAGACTTCGGCTTCTCCCTCATCTTCAATTGCTTCTGAATCACAGTCCTCTTCCTCCGTGTCTTCTCCTGGCTGATACACCCAGGCACTCAGGAAGGCACTTGTGGGTGGGATAGGAGAGGAGACCTCGGCTTCTCCCTCATCTTCAGTTGCTTCTGAATCACAGTCCTCCTCTTCCTCCGTGTCTTCTCCTGGCCGATACACCCAGGCGCTCAGGAAGGCACTTGTGGGTGGGATGGAAGAGGAGACCTCGGCTTCTCCCTCATCTTCAGATGCTTCTGAATCACAGTCCTCCTCCTCTTCATCCTCCTCCTCTGTGTCTTCTCCTGGCCGATACACCCAGGCGCTCAGGAAGGCACTTGTGGGTGGGACAGAAGAGGAAGCCCCCGTTTCCTCTGAATCACTGTCCTCTTCCTCCTCTGTGATCACACTGGATGGATGCTGCCAGGTCCTGAGTGAGGGCCTCTGGGCTAGACTTGTGGAGTGTGGCCCTGGATCAGCATCTCCTTTCTCAGCCTGTTTGTCCTCCTCCTCCTCCTCAGGCTCCTCTCCCAAACAACACTCCCAGGCCCTGAGGTGGGAGCCTACAGATGAGGGGGACATGGAGGTCTTCGTGGCTGCTTCAGTCTCTCTTCCTTCTCCTGTGGCTCCATTTACTGGGCCGCACACCCTAATGGCTTCTCCATTCTCCTCCTCTTCCTCCTCCTCCCCTGGGTAACACTCCCAGTGTGACAGAGGAAAAGAGAACGCGGTCACTTCTTTACCTCCAGTAACTGCTTCTTCCTTAGATTCCTCCTCCCCAGGAAGGTCCGGCAGAGATCTCATCAGAAGGCTGAGGGACAGGAGAGCAGGCTGGCCATCCATAAATTCTTCCTGCTCTCTAGGGACACCAGTTGCTTCTTCCCCACCATACTTTTCATCATCATCATCTGAAAGTCCCCAGACTTCGGGAAGAGAATGCTCGGCTTCCAGGTCAGGGTAGGCCCCCGGGGAGGCTTCTCCATCCTCCTCAGCTGCTCCACTGTCTTCGGTCTCCTCTTGAGGCTGCCTGCCCCAGGGGGCATGGTAGGTGGCCAGAGAAGCCTTTGCTTCATCCTCCAGGCCAGCTCCTCCTTGATCTGCTTTGGTTACTGCTTCCACTAGCCAGGGCTCTGGAGGTCCTGGGCCCCTCAGGAGGCTCCACGCCCGGCTAAGAAGGCCCATCAGTGGGGACAGGAGGAAGAAGGGGTGGGTACCTCTCCAGTGGGCAGGCTGATGGGGCATTTGGCCTGGAGCCATCTGTCTGGGCTGGGGAAAAGGGAGGGAAAAAAGGGGTCAAGTTTAGAAGCCATTTAAGGGAATAGCATCAGAGGATGACCTTGAGTCATAGCAACGGAAATAGTAACACAAATAGCAACGCAAGAGTTCCTGCCCCACATTCCTCTCTGATCCTAGCCACTCCCATCTCTGACCTTTGTTTCCCCACCTCTTCTCTCAAAACCCAGGAGTCCCCAGTTCTCTCCTTCCCTTAGTCAACAAGCCCCCAGCCCCATCTGCTCTCAAACCCATAAGTCCCAGTCCCAGGAAGTCAAAACGCAGGTCCTCTACTTGCTTCTCTTGGGGACAAAGGCCTAGTCCTTGCTTCTCTCAACCTCCTGAGGACTGACAAATCAGCCCCCGTCACCCACCCCCGCCGTGGAAACTCGAAAATTCCAATCCCTAGATGGTTACTGTTCTGGGGACCCACAAGTCTGGCTCCCAGACCCCTCCTCCGTCTGCCTCAGGACTCCCAAGTTTCCAATTCTTTCTGCTTCCTAAGTCGGAACCCTGGGGTTCCTCCCACCCCTCCAGAACCCCTCAGGTTCCCAGGCCTTCCTTAGTACCCACCGGAACTCAGAAGTCTGAGCTCCCGTCTCCTAACTGACCAGGAGTCTGGTCCCAGCCCCCAACCCCTCGGAACCTAGGTGTTCCGATCCCCTCAACTCACCAGTTCTGGACTGCGCATCAACCTGGAGGCAGGAGTGCCGGCTGAGATTGCCACGAGAGATCGTAGGTTCGGACGGCTCGGGAGGTCAGCGCGTTCATCTCGCCCTCCGGCGTCGGGCTCGAGGACTCAAGTTGTCACCGGCTGCTGCAAGCGCTGTCGCGACAAAGAGGCATACAATCGTTCAGGAAAGCATACAAATACATCCAGGCCGGAAACCTCACGGAGAGGTGACGCTACCCTCAGCGCTTTTATGGACCAAGGCAGCCGGACGTGCTGACGTCAGAGGGGAGGCGGGGTTTCGAAACGTAAACGTGAGGGAAGGGAACTGAAAACAAGGTTGGACTTCTCGCGGAGATTCCAGGCTTTGTGACGTCACGTGGCGGCGGTGTTTCCAAGCGTGGCCACGCCCCAAGCGAGCGAGCTGTCACTCAAGCGCGTGAACTGCTGAAGCAGAAAGCGAGCTCTTTTAACCCTTGTTCCAGGCAAACGCCTCACCTCTAATTTAAGACCAGGCCCCCGTCTAGAGTCTCCCACTTTCCATCTGTTAGGCTTCCTACCTGGTGTGGGAAAGTATTATTGTTCCCATATCACAGATGGGGAAACTGAGGCTTGGGAATGAAATCACTTGCCCAAAGCGGTCACAGCAGAGTCTGGATTCATTGCAAAAGAGACAGAATGTATAAGCCCCCTGAAGTCAGGCACTTTGCTTTGCTCACTGCCTGGCACATAGCAGGTGCTCAACAAATACGTGGTGAAAGTGAAGGTGTTAGTCTCTGAGTTGTGCCCGATTCTTTGCGACCCCATGGACCGTAGCCAGCCAGGCTCTTCTGTCCCTGGAATTCTCCAGGCAAGAATACTGGAGTGGATAGCCATTCTCTTCTCAAGGGGATCTTCCTGACCCCGGGATTGAACCCAGGTCTCCTGCATTGCAGGCAGATTCTTTACCGTGGTGAGGGGATGCTTAACCAAAAATTCACACCCCTTCCCTGTCTCGGACACAAGTCTCCACTCGTAGGTTTCACTTGCTTCAAATTTATAAAAACAAAACAAAAAACCTCTGCTTACACAAACTGAAATTCTAGATGTGAAGCACCAACGGAACCTCATGGGAGTGGGGGGGTGAGTCTTCTGCCACAAGTTCCAGTCCCAGGAACACAGTCCCAGTCCTCCCCGCACCACACCCCCCTACCCCGCCACACTCACGCCCTCCACCCCCCACCCCATAATCATGTTCTTCAAAATATGCCCAGGACTCAAGTTTCCCTCCTGAAGGGGTCATCCTCAGTCTAGAATGGAATTCTCACCTGAGTCCGAGGTGGACATTGACCCTGGGCACTTGACCCTGCTCGCTCAGGAATCTGGGCCCCTCCTCCTCGCTGGCACACTTGGACCCGTCCACTTAAAGCCACCCTTGCAGATCCCAGCTCCATTCACAACCCAGCAGTCCTGAATCCTAGATCACATCTTTCCAAGTGTTCAGGGGTCTGAGCCCCCACCCCTTCCAAGATCCCAGTGATCTCCATTCAGGGCTCGCCAGTGACCCAGGCCCCTGACAGCGACCAACCCACTGAGGCCCTGGAGTCCAGGCCCAGTTCCTACTCGCCAAATATTTAGGAATTCTAGCTTCAGCTTTTATGGGACCCCGGTGGCCCAGGCTCCAGTCCAGCAGGGATCTAGGGGTCGGGGAGGGGGCTGGAAATCACCCCTAACCCCTCCCCTCGGCTGCGGGGGCAGCTGAGCCAGAGGTCAGGCTGCGGTGGGGAGGCCAAGAGGGGCGGGGTCAGCTGGGATTGGGAGGGGAGACAGGCGCGTGGGCGGCTGGCAGAGGGAGGGAAGGACCCGCAGAGAGGAAAGAGAAACTGGGCGAGCAAGGAAGAGAGAAAGTGAGAAGGGGAATCCGGGAGAGGAGGAAACAGCGGTCGTGAAGGGCCACGGAGAGAAAGAGAAAGAGATTGTAAGGGAGAGGGAGAGACAGGGAGAGACAGCGAGGAGGAGAGAGAGAGAAAAGGGGATGGAGACTTAAAGACGAGAACTCCGTGAGTCCCAGAAAAAGATTTGGACAGAAACAAGAAAGACTGGGAGAGAAAGTGGTATGCGGGGTGGGGGTGCTGCAGAGAGAGAAGGAGTGAGGGAGAGACTGGGAGAGACAAGAGATTCGAGAGCCAGAGACGCGGAGACAGAAGGTGAGGCTGCAGAGAGAGGGTAAGAGGAAGAGAGATCGTCCGAGGAAGAGACACCATCAGAGACAAAGAGACAAAAAGGGCGTGGATGAGCAGGTGAGAGCGCAGGGCTATGAGAGGCAGCCCCTGAGAGGCGGCCGAGGGGGGGACTGAGGCTGGGTGTCCCAGCACCCACGCTGCCCTCTCGTGCTCTCTGCTCTCCGGACCCCAGAGCCGGTAAGTCCCCTGGCTGGGCTGCAAGGAGCTGCCAGAGTGCACATTCTTGGTGTCTTGGGACTTGGCAGGGATGTTTTAGGGGTGCATGTGGGAGGGAGGGCAGGAGACAGGTAGCTGGGGGTGGGGGTGGGGTAGCCCCGGAAAGAGTCAGGGAATGGGGGGGGGGGGTTCCTGAGCAGAGAGAGGGTCAAATTCCCGGCCAGAGGGCAGGGGGGCAAGAATAAAGGGGCCCCTATTCTCTGTCCCGGGCTACAGATGACTCCCCTCCACCCCTCCCCACAGCTGCCAGGGCCGCCCACCTCTCTTGGCATCACTCTTGGTATGCGGTCCCAGGCCGGGGCCTCCCCCAGAACCCCCCAGGCTCCAAACAACAGGCTCTTTCTCCTCAGCCTCCTCCGACCTGCAAGCCCCTGACCCTGTCTCTGTCCCCACCCGGGTCATCTGCAGAGAGAGGCGCACACAGCTCCCTTTTTTCCCTCCCCAAGCCCCCATGGAGGACGGCAGACCCCGCAGCAGCCTCAGCCTGGCCAGCAGCGCCTCGACGATCTCCTCGCTTGGTGGCCTGAGCACCAAGGTTCGACTTCTTGGTGGGGCTGGGGAGGAGCGGGGGGTGCTCTGGGCTCCCCCATCCTCCTGTTTCCAAGCCCTGCTTTCGGCGCCACCCAAGGGACTCCGGTTGTCAAGAGCAAAGATCTTTAGCAATGGGGTCTGCCAGACCTAGCAAGGTCCCAACTTGCCCACCCGCCGAAGCTAGGAATTCAGAGGCACTCCCAGCTGTCCCCACCCCGCGGTATTTTCCTAATTTGAAGCCAGACTAACAACCCTGCTTGACTCTGGTTGCTAGGATAAGGCCACTCCCCAGCCATGACCCCCACCCCCCGCCCCATCCAGGAACTCACTGTCCACTTTTATTAGGGACTAAGAAATCCTGTCTCTAGCCATCCCATCTCCCCAGTTCTGAAATCTGATAAGGGAAAGACCCTTCTCTGACCTTAAGGCCTCATGGGGCCCAAGATACTTGCCTCCCAAATCATCATCCCAGCCCAAAGTTCAGCAGTGGCATTCATTTTCTTGTCCTCCAGTCCCTCCCTTCACTCATTTCCAGCTTCCCAAGTTCAGATTCTGTAGACTTGATTCTGACCTTCGTCAGCACCATTGCCAAGGAAGGGCATCCTTTGGGAATCTGACCTGGGATATCTGTGGGGACGGAGGTTGGGGAGGTGGCATCTATTGGAATGGAGGGATTTGGAGCTCGCACCACCACCTGGATGTAGTCACTATGGGATGCTATTCCCTGGCAAATCAAAGGTGTCCGTTGATTCCAGCTGACCCACCACGAGGGATCAGCCATGTTGCTGAGTTGCTTCAGATCCCAAAGTCTTTGGATCTCCATCTCTGGCTTTGGTGGCTAAGGGCATGCTCTCCTTGGCAATGGACCCTTTATTCCCAAAGCCCCTCCCTAGTGGTCAATGGCCTTTTCCTTGATTCCAGACACCTCCCTCCACCCATGGAAAGTCTCTCAACTCTGCACTATGCACATACAATTCTAATGCCCAAACTCAGCTCTCTCCTTGACCAGGTTTCTAAAAACAGCTGAGCGAGGGCCTTGGGTTGCCTGGGTCCCACTGCATCCCTTCCCAAGTCCGCATTCACTTCTGTCCTCCTTGTCTCCTCAGAAGTCCACCCGGGCAGTAAGCAAGGTGCATGCCTTTGGCAAGCGGGGCAATGCGCTCAGAAGGGACCCCAACCTTCCTGTGCACATCCGAGGCTGGCTTCATAAACAGGTAGAGTGAGTGAGACAAGGGAAAGGACCCTCCACGTGATGTCAGAGGCTGTGCCCTTGGCTGTCCACCGTTTCTCTCCTTCCAAATCTCCAAATATGTTTGTTTTTTTTTCTTCCGATCCCTGCTGCCTCCCTTATTCTGTCAACTCATTCATTCGTGCAATAACTACTTCTTGAACATTTTCCCTGTGCCAAGCCCTGGGGCACATATCATGTAAATAAAACAAACAAGTATATAGCTACATCCAAGATGGCAGGGATGAATAATAAATTAATGTATATAAAAATGGATTCGATGATTTCCAATGGGAGAAAATGAAGCGCTGTGAAGAAATAATACAGGTTTCCCCAGTGGCTCAGTGGTAAAGAAACCGCCTGCCAATGAAGGAGATGCAAGTTTAATTCCTAGGTCGGGAAGATCCCTGGAGAAGGAAATGGCAACCTACTCCAGTATTCTTACCTGGGAAATCCCGTGGACAGAGGAGCCTGGCGGGCCACAGTCCATGGGGTTGCAAAGAGTTGAACACAACCTAGTGACTGAGCAGGAAGAAATAACATAGGAAAATGTGCTGGAAGGTGGTTGAAGGATGAGAGCTATGTTTGATTGTTGGTCAGGGAAGGTGTCTCTGGGGAGATGACATTTGAGCTGAGAATTATATGTCAAGAAGGATCCCACTGTGTTAAGATCTGGGGAGCAGAGGGAATCTGAAAGCAAAGGACCCTGCTGCAGGCAAAAATTTGGTGTTTGGAGCGAAATGGCAACCCACTCCAGTACACTTGCCTGGGAAATCCCATGGATGGAGAAGCCTGGTAGGCTACAGTCCATGGGGTTGCAAAGAGTCGGACATGACTGAGCAACTTCACTTTTCACTTTCAAGGTGAAAGAAAGGAGGAGTGACAGGAGGCAGGGAAGGGTTCTCTAAGAGTGGTCCCAGACCAGCGGTATCAGCATCACCTGGGAACTTTCTAAAAATGCAAATTGTCAGCTCCCACCCCAGATCTACTGACTGGAGAACTCTGGGGGCAGGACCCAGGGATCTGTGTTTTAATAAACCCTGCTGGTGATTCTTATGTGTACCCGAGTTGGAGATGCCTTGTAAAGCAGCAAATTAGGGTAAGGAATTTGAGATTTATTCTAAGTGTGATATCATCTCTGTTTTGAGCAGGGGACTCACATGATCTGATTTATAAATTTAAGGAATCATGAGTGGGGACTTGCCCGGGGGTCCAGTGGCTAAGACTCCTCACTCCCAATTGGGGACCCGGGTTCCCTGCCTGATCGGAGAATTAAATCCTACACAGCGCAACTAAAAATCCCACATGGCAGGATGAAGATCAAGAGTGTCACAACCAAGACCAGGGACAGCCAAATATATAAACAGACATTTTTTAAAAAGATCATGCTGCTCCTGTGGGAAGGGATGGAAGAGAGGAGGAGCACAAGGTTGGATATGGATTAGTTCTGGCAGAAGCAATGGGGGGGACGCAGGGTATGGCTCAGCAGCACCTACCTGACCTCTCTGTGTCTCACGTGCCATATTAAATGGGCCAAGAAGGAGACGGCAATCCACTCCAGTACCCTTGCCTGGAAAATCCCATGGATGGGGGAGCCTGGTAGGCTAGAGTCCATGGGGTCACAAAGAGTCGAACACAACTAAGTGACTTCTCTTACTATCCTACAGAAAACTGCTGCCAGTGTGTGGTAAAGTATCTTTCTGTCCCAGTCTTCCTGTAATTTCTCAATCCCCAAATGACAGATGAGAAACCATAAGGTTCCTAGTGGAGAAATGACTTGCTTAAGGGCACAGTGTGAAAGGGCTGGGGTTAGGAGTCATACTCAGGTCCCGCTGTGTCTAAAATCTATGTCCCCTCAGCTGCAACCCACTGGTTTCCAGTTCTCCATCTGAATCTGTTAAGTCTCCTATGTGTCTCTGCTCCTCCCTTTTCTGTGGGTCTTTGCTTCCAAGTGTCGCTATCTCCACCTTTTCCCCTCCCCTCTCTACTTCCACTCTGTCTCCCCAGGACAGCTCCGGGCTCCGGCTCTGGAAACGCCGCTGGTTCGTCCTCTCTGGCCATTGCCTCTTCTATTACAAGGGTCAGTGCCCCAGCTGGCATGGGGTGGGCGGGGCCCCCCCTCCCCATCTCCCTTTCCTCGAGTCTCTGGGCCTCCAGGTCTCTGTGTGATCCGTTATCCCAGCCTCTCTTTTGCAGACAGCCGCGAGGAGAGCGTCCTGGGAAGCGTCCTGCTGCCCAGCTACAGTATCAGGCCAGATGGGCCAGGAGCTCCCCGAGGGCGGCGCTTCACCTTCACCGTGAGTCCCTCCATCCCCAGTGGGCGCCAAGGGGCACTGGGCCTTGGGGACAGGCATGCAGCATCCTTTATTGGAGATAAAAGATCTTTACCACGGTCCATGGCATCCTTCTTTTTGGAGGGCCCGATGTCCCAGTCCCCCAGCTCTCTCTTCTCGCAGGCAGAGCACCCGGGCATGAGGACCTACGTTCTGGCTGCTGACACGCTAGAGGACCTGCGGGGCTGGCTACGCGCGCTGGGCCGGGCCTCTCGAGCGGAGGGGGATGATTGGTGAGTATAGGTCTAGGCCACGCCCCTGACCCTATACCTCCAATCTGGGTCCGGCTAATCAAACTCCTCCCCTTGAGACCCGGACACCTTCAGTGTCCAATCACTAGTCTTCTAGCTAAGGCGACTCCGCCCTTCAGGTCCCACCTCTAGGAAACTTCATCTCCAATGGGCAAAAAGTATCTCTCTGTAAGCTCCGCCGACCACTTTGTCCATCAGTATTCAGTTCGGTTCAGTTTAGTCGCTCAGTTCTGTCCGACTCTTTGCGACCCCATGGACTGCAACATGCCAGGCTTTCCCGTCCATCACCAACTCCCGGAGCTTGCTCACACTCATGTCCATGGAGTCAGTGATGCCATCCAACCATCTCATCCTCTGTCGTCCCCTTCTCCTCCCGCCTTCAATCTTTCCCAGCATCAGGGTCTTTTCCAGTGAGTCAGTTCTTCGCATCAGGTGGCCAGAGTATTGGAGTTTCAGCTTCAGCATCAGTCCTTCCAATGAACATTCAGGACTGATTTCCTTTGGATTGACTGGTTTGATCTCCTTGCAGTCCAAGGGACTCTCAAGAGTCTTCTCCAACACCACAGTTCAAAAGCATCAATTCTTTGGTGCTCAGCTTTCTTTATAGTCAACTCTCACATCCATACATTACTACTGGAAAAACCACAGCTTTGACTAGGTGGATCTTTGTTGGCAAAGTAATGTCTCTGCTTTTTAGTATGCTGTCTAGGTTGGTTATAGCTTTTCTTCTAAGGAGCAAGCGTCTTTTAATTTCATGGCTGCAGGCACCATCTGCAGTGATTTTGGAGCCCCCCAAAATAAAGTCTGTTACTGTTTCCATTGTTTCCCCATCTATTTGTCATGAAGTGATGGGACCAGATGCCACGATCTTAGTTTTTTGAATGTTGAGTTTTAAGCCAGCTTTTTCACTCTCCTCGTTCACTTTCATCCAGAGGCTCTTTAATTCTTCTTCGCTTTCTTTCATAAGGGTGGGGTCATCTGCGTATCTGAGGTTATTGATATTTCTCCCAGCAATCTTGAGTCCAGCTTGTGCTTCATTCAGCCCGGCATTCCGCATGATGTACTCTGCATATATGTTAAATAAGCAGGGTGACAATATACAGCCTTGACCTACTCCTTTCCCAATTTGGAACTGGTCGCGTTGTTCCATGTCCGGTTCTATTCCTTGTCCATCAGTACTGCTCACTCTAATTGGCTCCGGCAGAAATCTCCACCCCTTGAGGCTGCCACCTAAACAATGTCAAATTTAAAAAAAGGAAAGGCTCTAGGCGGTCTCTGTTTACTTGCCCCAGTGTTCAGGCTAGAGACGCATAGTTTGGGCCCAGCGACCTGGATGGGCCTTGTGGCATTGCACAATATACTACTCAGGCCTCAGTTTCCCCATCTGCAAAATGGGGACAACGGTTGCTAGTGTACTACCTCCCCCTTTTTCTTTGTAGATCCCTGTGTCCTTGTCGATGAAATGAGAGTAAGGGCTGTTATAAGATTCAAAGGAGTGACGTCTTTTTCTGTGTCCAGTGGGCAACCCAGGTCATCTGCACGGCCCCAGACTGGGGAGGGCCCGGGAGGCCCCGGTGGTCCCCCAGAAGTGAACAGGGGCGCGGAAGAGGGGCGCGGCTCAGAATCACCAGAGGTGGCGCGGCTCTCCAGAGGTCGTGGCCGACCCGGGCAGCTCACTCCCAGCCCCACGGCTGACCTGCAATCTGGACCCCGAATTCGGAGGGCGAGGAGCCCAGAGTGAGTGGGACGAGGGGGTCTGGGATGAGAAGGTTCTACGGGGCTGAGCTTCCGAGGGCATTCTGAGGGCGTGGCCGCAGGGCAGGGCTGGGACTGGTTAGGGGCGTGGCTTAGCGCTTTCTCGAAGGTGTGTGTGACTTGCTGGACGCCGGCGGGGTTAGAGCCTGTTGAGACGTCCTAAGGAGGGGATGTCACAAAGAGGAGAATTGTTCGGGATCTGGCTACGAGAGGAGGGTCCGCTCCAGAGGGACAATGAGACACACGAAGGGAGACACGTCTTCGGGGCTGACTTGATGGATGGTGGGATGAGGGAGCTCTTGTCGACACTGTTCGCCTTTTCTCTCCTCTCCACAGCCTGTTCTCACCGCTCTCTCGTCCTCCCTCGCCTCTGAGCCTCCCCCGACCCCGTTCTGCTCCTGCACGCAGACCTCCGCCCTCCTCTGGAGACGCAGCACCTTCTGCCAGACCCCATACCCCGCTGAGTCGCATCGATGTCCGGCCTCCCCTAGATTGGGGCCTCCAGCGCCAGACCCTCTCCAGGCCCCCCACTCCCCGCCGAGGACCCTCTTCTGAGGCTAGGGGAGGAAGGCCCCCCAGGAGTCCTCAGCACTGGAGTCAAGAGGCCAGAACAGCGGTGAGCAGAGATGGCAGCGAGAGGGACTACAACTCCTATATGGCCAGCGGGCTGCCTTTCCGGGCTCGTCTCTAAGCCATTGGCCCCTGGGTATCATGGAGACTATAGTTCAGCGTAATCACAGCTGGGTTCAGATGTGAAAGGGACAGTGAACTTTATCTCCTGTCGGTTCTAAGGGCTGTCTTCAGGCTGGTCTTTGGCAGTTACTACCCCTTAAACATTATGAACTAGTCCAGAATATGCTCTAGTACAATGCTGTGAGAGGCAGTGTGAATTGCATCTGCCTTGCGTCTCCACTTTTATCTTTCCAAGCTGGTCACCTACTATTTTCTCTGAGCATCACGGGATTGCAGCCCAGAAAATCCACAGCTAACCACAAATGTGAGAGTAAGAGTAGGCTGCAACTTTCATTGGTCCCTGGGACTGTTTTGCAGGCTGTTGGTTTATTATCATCCTGCGTGTCCCCACAGTGGCACACAGCTGGAGAGAAGATAGTTGAAGTTCTGGGGGCCCAGTTCTGAACCTCAGAGAGTCTCCTATGGCACTTCACTGCCAGACACATCCTTTCTGTATCTGTTACTAAGACATGCCAATTTCTAAACATCTCTATTTGAATATTCCTCCCAGGCCCACTCTGGAACCTCCACATATCTCCAGCTCCCTCCAAGGCCTCCTGGGACCCGGGCTTCCATGGTTTTATTGGTAGGTATCCTGGGGCACCTTGAATCTGCCAGAGCCCCCTCCCATGCTTTCTTTGCTATAGTGAATGTCGTTTCATTGACTAGTGTGCCTAGAGAAGGCTGGGCATTTCAAGGTGCCTGCATAGGTGCTGTGTTAGTTTCCTGGGGCTGCTGAAAACTCAGTGGCTTATGTATACTGAATATCTCTCCACCATTCACACAATCTCCTTTTTGTTCAGTCGCTCAGTCGTGTCTGACTCTTTGCGACCCCATGGACTGCAGCATGCCAGGCTTCCCTGTCCTTCATCATCTCCCGGAGATTTCTCAAACTCATGTCCATTGAGTCAGTGATCCCATCTAACCATCTGTCGTCCCCTTCTCTTCTTGCCTTCATTCGTTCCCAGCATCAGGGTCTTTTCTAATGCGTTGGCTCTTCACATCAGGTGGCCGAAATGTTGGAGCTTCAGCTTCAGCATCAGTCCTTTTAATGAATATTGAGTGTTGATTTCCTTTATGATTGACTGGTTTGATATCCTTGCAGTCCAAGGGACTCTTAAGAGTATTCTTCATCTTTCATTTGAGTCTTAAAGTTTTTCCATAGAGATTTTGTGTGCTGTTAGTTAAGGTAACTCTGATAGTTTTTTTTTTTTTTATTAGTTGGAGGCTAATTACTTTACACTATGGTTATTTGAATGGTGTGTTCTTTTTAAAAAATTATTTTCTATGATTTTCCTATTATATTCTATTTTCTATTATTTTTCTATCTATTTCTACATCATTATTGATGATGTAGAGATATGCTATTAATGTTTGTAACTTCCTTTTACATTGGGCATCCTTACTGAATTCACTTATTTGCTCTAATAATTTTTTAAAGTTTTTTCATTAAAAATTTTTTCATTTTGTTGATTTTCAGGGCAGATGAGTGCCTCATCTGTAAATAATGATGGTTTTATCATTCTCCTTCCTATCCTTACACTTTTCTTTTTCTTAACTTGTAGCATTTGTCAAGATCTCTAATACTGTGTTAAACTGTCACAGTGGCAGTGAGCATCCTTGTTTTATTCTCAAACACAAAGGAACTATCTAAATTTTCTCCATCAATTATTGTATTTGCTATAGTTATTTGGTAGCAAAGCCCACTGGATCTTCCTAAAGCCAAAAATCTGGCAATTAGTCCACTGAGGTTTGCTTTGCTAAAGCTTGGAACAAAGCTAATAAGGACAAGGGGCGCCGGCCAGTAGAAACAGGGCTCAACTCAGCACTGAGCTACAATGAGGACTTGTTTGGGCGTGTGACCCCCAACTTTTCTCTTTCTCCTCAGCCGGGACCCCCTCTAGACTCAACCTTCCATCAAAGCTTGGAGACAGATGTAAGCACTCCTGATCCAACCCTTGTTGAATACGCAGAATTGGGGATAGAATGTTTTGGAAGGTGGGAGGGTGGGCAGGGCGAAGAGCCATGTCTGGTCCATAAACAGCTCCTGTCCTCCTTTCTGCAGACTCTGTTGACCAAGTTGTGTGGGCAGGACCGGCTCCTGAGGAGGCTGCAGGAGGAGATAGATCAGAGGCAGGAGGAGAAGGTACAGGACTCCGGGACAGCGGAGGGACACTTGGCCTCTCCACCTGCCCTTAGCCCATCCTGACCCCCAGGATATGAGAGGATACCAGAAGCCAGCTTTTCTCTTGCCCTGAGGCTGGGTATGGTTTCAGAAGTCTAACCGTCTTCTCTCTTGGTGCAGGAGCAATTAGAAGCAGCCCTGGAATTGACCCGACAGCAGCTGGGCCAAACAACCAGGGAAGCCGCAGCTCCTGGGAGGGCTTGGGGGCACCAGCGCCTCCTGCAGGACCGATTAGTCAGTGTGAGGGCCACTCTCTGTCACCTGACCCAGGTGAGCATCTGAGAGGGGACATACCTCCTAGGAGACCCCAGGACTCTACAAGTTGTTACTAAAGGGAACTTTCCCCCAAAGACTCTTGGGAAGGTAGTTCTTGAGACTTCCCCTCCGTTTGAAACCAACGATCTTGACAGCCCTAGAGGGTGAGGCGCAAGCAGCCAAGAAACAGCAGAATTTCATTTAGCCATTTAAGGGGGGTGATTTCGATATGGACTTCCTGGCTTTGAATCTCAGCTCCCACTCACAGTTGCTGTGTGACCTTAGAAAAGTTACTTAACCTCTCTGGACCTTAGATCCCAAATCTGTAAACTTGAGATGATAAAAGTAATATTTACTTCTTACGGCCATTGTGAAGATTTCATAAGTATATGTAAACGAATCACAGAATATTTAATGCTTATGCACCTAGTATATGGTAAGCATTACTTGTGTTAGCTGTAATTATTGTTACTGTAAAATGGAGACACTGATCGTACCTACCTCACAAGAATTAAGTGAGAGCTAAGAACAGTGCCAAGTAAATGCGCCAAATAATGTTAAGTAAGTGTTGAATAAGTGTTAGCTGCTCTTGTTATTGGTACTGGCAAAGAAGTTTCTGCTGCCCGGTGGGGTGTAAGGTTTGTGGCTTTGTCTGTTCCAAGAATTCATTAGATCTGTGGGCTCTCGCCCTAGAGGCGTGCAGAGGTAATCCAGAAGATTCAGGAAAAGCTGTTCTGTGTCTGCACTAGCTGTTCTTTGGAATGGCAGGTTCCATACAGAAGCTGGGGTTCCCAGTAGTCTGAGCAAGGGGGCCCTTGGGATTGCAGTCCGTATAACCCCAGGGACACTTCCTCCTGCTCAGCTAGGAAAAGATAGAATGGGGAAAGATATGGTGGGTGGGCATGCTAACTGTGTCTCTCTTTTTCTGGGGCCTTAGGAGCGAGAGCGTGTTTGGGACACATACAGCGGCCTGGAGCAGGAGCTGAGCACCTTGAGAGAGACCCTCGAGTACCTGCTGCACCTCGGGTCCCCCCAGGTGCACCCCTGCCCCAAGCCCCAAGCCCCACCTTGCTCTCCCAAGTTCACTTGGTCATCTCAATAAATGCAGGAAAAACATTTATAAAATGTAATATCCTTTCAGGGGCTTCTCTCATAGCTCAGTTGGTAAAGAATCTGCCTGCAATGCAGGAGACCTCGGTTCGATTCCTGGATTGGGAAGATCCCCTGGAGAAGGGAAAGGCTGCCCACTCCAGTATTCTGGCCTGGAGAATTCCATGGACTGTATAGTTCATGGGGTCACAAAGAGTCGGACATGACTAAGCCAACTTCACTTTCACTTTCACTTTCAATATCCTTTCATGATAAAATCTCTCATCAAAGTAGGAATATAAACTACTTCTTTAACCTGATTAGGTATCTATAACAAACCTACAACAAAGCATTGTTGTTGACAGTGAAATACTGAAATCTTTCTCCCAATATTCGGAATAAGGCCAGATCTATGTTATTGCCAGTTCCAGTTAGTGTTGTACCAGGGATCCTAAACAGTACAAGTGAGTCTAACAAATAAGTCAAAGGTATAAGGACCAAAGAGGAAAAAGTAAAGCTGCTTTTACTTACAGATGATGAAATTGTATATGTAGAAAATCCAAAATAATCTCCAGATAAACTGAGCATAAGCAAATCCGGCAAGGTAACTGAATGCAAGAATAATATACAAAAATCATCATCCTGTTTGCTAATACCAAACAATTAGAAAATAAATAAACACTAGTGTTTACAATTAACATAAACAAATTAACGATCTGAAAGAAGTCTAATGAAAGATATGCAAGACATCTACTCTGAAAGCCACAAAATGTCATTGAGAGAAATTAAAGAAGGCCTATGTAAATGGAGAGATGTACCATGTGTATGGATAGGAAATATAGTAGTATAAAGACGTGGTCTCCGCAGATTGACTTCCCCAGTGGGGATCTGCTGTCCCAATACAATATGTGCAGATTGAAAAACTGACTTTAAATTGCATCTGGAAGTGCAGAAGGCCGAGAGTAAGCCAAGGCAGCCTCCAAGAACAAAGCCCGAGGACTAACACAACTGGATAGTGTCCGACTTTAAAGCTACAGTTAACAAGAAGGCAGTGCAGTACTAACACAAATTTAGACAAATTGACTAAAGGGATAGAATATTCAGAAACAGACTCGTATTTACTTATATGGTCACCTATTTACAACAGAGGTAACACTGCAGAACAGTGCAGAAAAAGACAATATTTATGATAAACAGTTATGGGTCAGTAGAATGGGGAGATTTCAGACCCTTTCCATGGCTTATCAACTTTAACCCTCCTTGCATTTTCCCACCTTTGAGTAACAAATTCCTTTCCTCTCTCCAGGACAGAGCATCTGCTCAGCAGCAACTGTGGATGGTGGAAGACACGCTGGCAGGTCTGGGGGGCCCCCAGAAGCCACCCTCCAACACTGAGCCTGACTCCCCATCCCCTGCTCTCCAAGGCGAGGAGTCCTCAGAGAGGGAGGTGAGGCCACACACATCTTTCCCACCTCCAGTTTCCTGTCCCGTCTGCCCCTGGCCTAACCCATTACCCACTCACCTCTTTCACCCTTGATCGGCTAACCAACCTCAGGTACATATCCTAAGCTTTAGAAGCTTCTATTTCCTTATTTGGTATTATGGTCATAGTCCAGAGGTGTGCTGGACCCACAACACAGCAACTTGGTGAGTTGCAAACACCTCACAAGGTCCAGTTGCCTGCATCTCAACTCCACACTCAGTGATGACATGTCAGTAGCTTGAAATTGACTATGGTGGGAGTATTTACACCATGGAAATTGGCAAACTGCTGCAAAGGAGGGTTCTTTTCTTCCAGAGGGCATTTGTTAAACATTTACCAGATAGCACTGATGTTAATCCCCACCCTGCAGGGTTCTTTTTATTTTTTTTTAGTTTAAATATTTGCTTGCAGTTTATTTTGGTTTTTCTAAATAGACATTCACATCTGTAGACAATAGGATTTTGGTTTCAGCCCCAACCCCCAATTCCTTACAAGTTTTTATTCTCATACATTGGCTAGAACTGCCATTTGTTGTTGTTTAGTCGCTAAGCTGCGTCCAACCCTTTTGTAACTCCATGGACTGTAGTACACCAGACACCCCATGGGATTTCCCAAGCAAGGATACTGGAGTGGGTTGCCATCTCCTTCTCCTGCAGGGTTCTTTAGAAAGACGACATTGTGACTAGACAGTGCCTGACAGTAAGCCCTCGGGAACCAGGAGCCATTGTGGTCATAGCTGAGTAGAACTGTTGCCAAGCCTGATCATCAGGTCATGTATCTGGGAGACCTGGGTTTTGATCTCACCTCTGCCGTCTTTGTGACATCAGTCACTGACCTCATTCTCTGAGCCTCAGTTTCCCTGTCTGTCAAATAGGGATAATAATAGCATCTCATACATTTACTGAAGGGATTCAATGAGATAATTCTGGTAAAGTGTTTGACACCATGCCAGATGCATAATCATTATGAAACCTCACACGTGGACCCGTGTGGGAATCCCTGGTCGTCCAGTGGTTGGGAATTCACCTGCCAGGGCAGGGGACATGGGTTCTATCTCTGGTTCAGGAGGATTCCACATGCTTTTGGGTGACTAAGCCCAAGTACTCCAACTACTCAAGTCCGTGCCGTCTAGACCCTGTGCTCTGCAACTAGAGAAAGTCTAGGCAAAGCCACAAAGGTCCAGAAAAACCAAAATTAATTAATTATCCCCCCCCCCACACACAAGTTATAAAGACTTGTTATGTGCCAGGCACTGTTCTAAGGGCCTTACTTGTATCCATTTGGTCCTTGTATCAAAAGGTGAAATGTGGCACCGAGAGGGAAAGTAACTTGCCCAAGGTCACACAGCAAGCAAAATGGCAGAGCTGAGGTTTGAAAACGAGGTCTGGCTCCTGGTTTCAATCTTAATCCTGCTTATGTAGTGTCTCTACTGCTAAGTGCTTGAAAACTGTAGTCCTAGTGATCTATTACCCCCTTTCCTGACCTCCCCAGAGCCTGACGGAGTCCCTGGAACTGAGCTCATCCCGGTCTCCCGAGGCTGACTGGGGGAGGCCCCCAGGGGGCGACAGAGAGCTCACCAGCCCTCGCTCAGGTGAGCATCTGGGGTTGGGAGGGACTCACTCGGCATTCCGCAGCCTCACCCATCCCATTCTGCCCCTCCAGGAATTGGATCTCCAAGGGTCTCCCGGGCTTCCAGTCCTGAGGGTCGCCGCCCCACTTCCCCTCAGCCAGGAACCAAGGTAGGCAGTCCATCTGATCTCCTCAGGTCCATTATAACCCTTTGCCCACCACAGATCCCCTACTCGGGGAAACATCTGGGAGAGGAGTGTTCTAAGCCACACCCCAGAGCAGAGAGAGTGAGATTTGTTAAGAGCATTGGGATTGAATTTTGTCTCTGCCACTTCTAACTTGTATGACTTTGGGTTGGTTAAGAAACCTCTCTGCCTCCATTTTCTCATCTGCAAAATGGAGCTGATAGCCGTGTCTACCACCCAGAGCTGATGTGAAGAGTCAAACTAGATGAATGCCCCTAAAGTTTGAAAGTAGTGCCTTAGAGCAAGCACTTCATTCATTCATTCATTCATTCATTTATCAATCATTCATTCAACAGATATTTATTAAATGCCCTCTTTGCTATCTAACTGGAGAAGGAAATGGCAACCCACTCCAGTATTCTTGCCTGGAAGATCCCATGGACAAAGGAGCCTGGTGGGCTACATTCCATGGGGTCACAAAGAGTCAAACATGACTTAGTGACTAAGACTTTGCTATCTAATAAGGTAGCCAGTAGCCACATGAGGCTATTTAAATTTAAATGAATTTAAATGAAATAAAATAAAAAATCACTTTCATTTGAGGAATTCAAGTATTCAGGAGATACACATGGCCAGCAACTACCCTGTTGAATAGTGAAAATATAGAATATTTTCATCATTCAGGAAAGTTCCCTCAGGACCCAAATGTGAGCAAGAGAAGGAAAAACATCCTCTCATGAATCTAATATTCTAGTGGGAAGAGGTAAATATAAATAATTGACTATAAATTATTTTATGTAAGTGCTAAATAAATAAAAACAGCCCGGGGAGGGGATCTGGAACATTGGCGAAGGGACGGAGTTGTAACTGTTTTGGTCTGCGGAGGCTTCTGTCAGGGAGGGAGCCCTGGGGATGTCTGGTGGAAGAGCGTTAGGGGCAAAGAGAAGAGTGTGTGCCGAGGTTCTGGGGCTGAAGAGTCTGGCGTGTTGGAGGAGCAGCTAGGAAGTCAGTGTGGGTGGAACCGAGTAACCGAGTAAGGGGGAGGGGGTGCTGATGAGGACAGAGAGGTAATAGGGGCAGATCCGGGCTGGGCCTTGTGGTCCAACGTGAGGACTTAACTTTGACACTGGGTAAGCTGGAGCCATGGAGACTTCTGAGCAGAGGAGCGGGAGTTTCCATAAATGGAAACTGGCGCCCTCTGGCGGCCACTTGAGGGAATAGACTGTGTGGATGCCGCCTGGGTCAGGGTTGATGGGGCCAGTGGGATATTGGGGGGGGGGGGGGCGGATAACAGTTGTTTGCACTAACTTAGAAATGGAGACATCAAGAGGGAGTCAGATTCTAGATATACTGGGTTTTCAAACTTTATTAAAAACCCTTGGGACCTCAGATGCCATTTTTGTTTTTGTTTTGGCTGTCCCCCACGGGCTTGCCAGTTCTTAGTTCCAGGACCAGGGTTGGAACCCCAGTCCCGGCGGTGAGAGCGCCAAGTCCTAACCACTGAGCCGCCAGGGAATTCAGAGGTTTAAAATGCAAAAATCTGCAGATTCTAGACTGGTAATTTGGTGCTTATACTGTGTACTGTGTGTGTCTGGAGCAGCGTGTGTATGCATGCTAAGTGGTTTCAGTCGTGTCCGAGTCTGTGCGACCTCATGGACTGTAGCCCGCCAGGCTCCTCTGTCCATGGGATTCTCCAGGCTAAAATACTGGAGTGGGTTACCATGCCCTACTCTCTCTGGAGCATATGCTTCATCAAATACATTACCATTTCTCTAATAAAATGTATGAATCTGCATATGAAATGGGATAAAAGCTATAAATAATACCGCCATTTAAATGTCAAGCTAAAAGCAGAGCAGTGAATTACTTAAGTTAAGGAGTCAGTGGAATAAAAATAGATTATAATATCAGCTGCCTTTCCCACCCCCCCCTCAGGAAAAGGTTTAGTAAACATGTCACACATCCAAGTACAAAGGAAGCCAAGAACCTAACTATTCACACGCAGTGAATGCATATGACATCTGGTGACTTGAGGACTCTGGGGACAGAGGTCATTAGTCAGGCCAGCAGTGCCATCATCAAGTTGGACATAAGAGGCAGGACCGGGGGTGGGGGGTTCCTGAGGATGAAGCAGGTGACCTCTGTAGAGTTTCTTGCTGTGTCATCTGTGTTCCCCGCCTCCCCCCCAAGCTGCTTACTTCCCCAAACAGGGAACGGACCCAGGCCACAGCAGTGAAAATGCCAAGTCCTAACCACTGGGAATTCCCTTGTCTGCTCCTTAATAAAGGGTCTTGTCTGGGCCCTGTCCTTTTAACTGAGTACACTGGTTAGAGTCTCTTGGTTGCTCATAAACACAAACTGCTGCTGAAGGTCAGCAATGAACTGACTGTTCATTTCATCATTTTGTCTGTGGGGAGTTTCCACCCTGTAGCCCCAAGGTCGTCAACAGCATCGCTGTAATCTCCCATTTCAGAATCTCAAGCCACAGCCTCAGTTTCTTTGTCTCCCACCAGTGCTCACCGAGCAAGTCATTGCTGGGACCAGTGGGAGCTTCCAGTTTTACCTGATCACCTTGGGTAAAAAGAGCAGGGATCGGGAACTTCCCTGGTGGTCCAGTGGCTAAGACTCGTGCTCCCAATGCAGGGGACCCAGGTTCCATCCCTGGCCAGGGAACTAGATCCTGCATGCCACAGCCAAGAGTTTGCATGCCCAAACTAGGAGACTTCCCATGCTGCAACTAAAATTTCCATGTGACACAGTGAAGATCGAAAATCTTGCAAACACAAATCATTGGGGACTTTAGGGGACAGCTTCCAGGCAACCTGGGCATGTTGGGGATGGTTTCCTGGAGGCAGACAGATTCTGAAGAATGAATCCATGGCAAAGAATTTATCCATGGCAAAGCAGGACAAAGCTGGTGTAAAGTCTAGACTAAAGTGGGGATTTAGGAAGCCAGGGCTTCTATTAGCCTACAGGATACCTTTTTGTGAATTAGAGACAGGCGTCCCCATCTACGTGGGCAGAACCTGGATCCATCAATGGAGGGCTCAACCCTTGGGCAGTGAGCAACCCATACAACTGCACGTGGCCTCTTGGGAGCACAGAGCTCTGACCTCCGGAATGCCATCCACCAACTGAAGGTAGTTCAGTTCAAGTCAGTGAATTTCTCAGACCCTTCCTGACTGACAGGCCCTACAAGGCAAGATCCCCAGACCACGTCCTGTTTTCAAGGACCTACGTTTCTGAGTTTGCCAGTGTAGTGAATCTCTGCCTCACAATCTCTAGTTTCTTTTTCAACTTTGTTGTTGCTGTTTGCTGTTTTTTTTTTTTTTTTTTTTGGCTGTGCCACGTTGCATGTGGGATCTTAGTTCCCCAACTAGAGATTGAACTGGCGCCCCCTGAATGGAAAGCACAGAGTCTTAACCACTGAACTGCCAGTGGTTAAGTCCATACTTAACCCCATTTTTCTGTGGCTTCCCCCCATCCTGAAGCTGGCAAACAGATCCTGCAGGAAAAGTATGGCTGCTGGACTTGGCAGGACCATTCTGATGCCCACTAAGCCATCAGCAGATGACCAATCCAAGTACAGTGTCAAGAGGAGTTGCTGTTTCTCCCTTTCCCCCTAAACTTTGGCAAGTGCAGGAAGAAATCCCGAATCCCCTTATTTGTTCAAGATTCTGATCTTCTAGGGGCCAGCCTGTGTGGAAGGTGTTGGGGGACCTGCCAGGAATTACTCCTGATGCTGGAGTCTGATGGGAGAGAGGCATGAATGCAATCCTTACACACATGTAACAGAGTTAAGCTATTTTCTAGGGGGACTCAGCATTAGGAAGCCTTTGAAAGGTTAGGTAAGCAAAAGAGTTGGACATGACTTAGCGGCTAAACGAGGACGACAACAATAAGCTGTGCCTGGATGAATGAAAAAGTTTTGGCTGTGCAGGAAACAGTACTCCAAAGGGGAACAGGCTATGCATGCAAAGGCATGGAGCGGATAAAGAAAAAAGCAGCTGCTTTATATAGGAAACAAAGCTGAATTTATTCCCTGGTGGCTCAGATGGTAAAGAAGCCGCCTGCAATGTGGGAGACCTGGGTTCAATCCCTGGGTTGGGAAGATCCCTTGGAGGAGGGCATGGCAACCCACTCCATATTCTTGCCTGGAGAATCCCATGGACAGAGGAGCCTGGTGGGCTACAGTCTAAAGGGTCGCAGAGTCGGATACGACTGAGCAACTTAGCACAGTACAGCCAAAACAGACCTCTTGTAAGATACAGCCGATCTGAGCAAAGCAAAGAGTTGATGTCATATGGCATAGAGTTGGGACACGGGTGGGTTTGCAGAATCTGGAGTGTTGAGGGGTTGTTCTACACAGGGCCGGCGCTGATTGGCTGGCTTTTAGGGAGATGGAGGGGAGCGGGGGAGTGCCAGTTATAACTGCTTATTGGAATAGGTTTAAAAGCTTTTCTGGTGCTTGCTTACTGTCGGGTGGAAACCAAATATTCAATCCGGCCTTTCTTAGGAAGAGAAGAACTATTTTCAGTGGTGTGTGTTAAGGATTGCTGAAAAGTGTTCGTCGTTCAGTTGTGTCCAGCTCTTTGCAACCTCATGGACCGTAGCCCGCCAGGCACCTCTGTCCATGGAAATTTCCAGGCAAGAATACTGGAGTGGGCAGCCATTCCCTTCTCCAGGGGATATTACAGACCCAGGAATCGAACCTACATCTCCCGCATTGCGGGCAGCTTCTTTGCCATTTGAGCCATCAGGTTGGGGCTGCACCAAGTACCATCGTGGGGGACTTCCCTGGTGAAGGTCCAGCGGTGAAGATCCCGCGTTTTCAATGCAGGGGGTTCAGGTTCAATCCCTGGTCCGGGAACTAAGACCCCACATGCGATGTTGCGCATCCAAAAAAAAAAATAAGAATAATAATCTTGGGAATGTCTCTTCCCCCAACCCTATGGGCGGCTTACATACAGGGGTGGGGCAAGGGAATTCAGGAATTTTATTATTATTTTTTTCAATTCAGGAATTTTAGAACTGAGCAAGGAAAGATATACCAGTAGGTGGCAGGAGCACAAAGGGTTTTAGTTGGTCCACGGCTGATGGTTTGCTGGCGGAATAAGTCCCGCACAGCAAGGGACCCTCCACGTTACTGCGTGGGGGCCACCGCCCAGGAGAAGAGAGGCCGGGGACAAGGGGACTCCCGGGAGAGAAAGAGATTGGAGAAGGGGCTTAAGGATCTAGGTGATGTGCTTGGCAGCACAGAGGGTGGGGCTTTTATAGCTACAAGTTATTCCTGCTTATGGCTCCAGATGCTGGTTGCAACTTCAGGAAGAATTTAAAGCAGACAGGCTCCAAATGGCTAAAAATATCCACCTATGTGGGCTGTCTTTGAAACAAGTGGATGTGTAAAAGTTTCAGTTTGGCCCTGGAGGAGACTTTCAGGTCAGCAGTCTAGCCTGTTGTGAATAAGTAGGTGACACAGGGCCAGGAAACTCCCTGGCGGTCCTACATCCCTTGCTTTCACTGCAGAGGCGCACATTCGATCCTTGGGAACAGAGGTCCCACAAGCCCCACGGCTGGACAGGAAAAAACACATAGGGCCAGTTTCCAGGTGGGCGTGTGACCCAGGATTGATCAAATCAAAGCGAGTAAACTGCAGTGATTGGTCCTACAATAAGCAAGATCCAAGCTGTCTGCCTAGAATTTTCTAACTGGAGACTGCAGTCAAGAGTTCTCTCTCCACCCCTTCCCTTTGTTTTTTGCTTAAACAATAAATGTATTGTCTTGCAGTTCTGTAGGCTAGAAGCCTGAAATCTAGTGTCCACAGGGCCACGTGCCTTCTGAAGGCGCTAGGGAGGGATCACTTCCTCGGCTTGTGGCATCATGACTTCACCTGTCACCTGGCGCTCTCCCTAGGTGCACATCTGTGTCCAAATTACCCCCTTTCCTGAAGGATAACACACGTTTGTCACTCTGGTGGCCCCTTTCCTGCTCAGAGCATCCCAGATGTCCAACAGCCTTCCTTCATTTTATCCCGTCTCTGTCTCCTTCGTTTTGACTGGACAGCTTTTCTGCTGAGCTGGTTTACTGGACTCACACATTACATGCCTGATCTCTTAGCAAATGGTTTTCCGGTCACACCCTTGGCATTCTCTTCAGAGCAAGCTTCCTTGCGAAGCAGATAGATTGAGAATGTTTCAGATTTCAAGTTCTCCTTCCGTTCATCCCCGTCCTCTCGTGTTTTGAGTTCCTAAGGCTCTAAGCCCAAGAACAAGGTGTCATCAGGATCATGCTTCTGGAAGCTTCAGACAGAGTTCCCTGGCTTGTGGCGGATAACCAGAATTATCACAGGACAGTCTCCCTGTGTGTCTCTTTCCTCTGGTTTTGAGGGCACTAGAGAACTTGTCGAGTCCTCCCTCAGGCAAACCCAAAGTGATCTTCTTTGATGATCTAGTTACACAATAAATCTCATCCTTCATGTTAATGTTTTCAAAGCTGATTGAAACCAGACTTATTATTATTATTTTTTTAATCATGAGTAAACCAGAGTCCTGACTCCTACTTCCAAGAGACTTGCTGTCTCCAGAGAAGAGTGGGTGTTGATCAGGCTGGCATTACAGGTTCCAACAGGGCAGCTGATGGGGTTGAGGCCAGACAGGTGGGTAGCAACCAGTCTCACAGCAACTGTAACACCTTTGTCCTGAGAGCCTCTGGGGATATGGAAGGACTTGAGCATATCCAGCAGAGGGACAGCCTGGGCTCCAGGTGTAGAAATAAGTCCTCAAGATTCAGGGCTGAACTTACTGGGAATTGCAAGACACGGGAATTCTCCAGGCCAGAATACTGGAGTGGGTAGCCTTTCCTTTCGCCAGGGGATCTTCCCAACCCAGGGATAGAACCCAGGTCTCCCGCATTGCGGGCAGATTCTTTACCAGCTGAGCCACAGGGAAGCCCAAGAATACTGGATTGGGTTGCCTATTCCTTCTCCAAGGGATCTTCCTGACCCAGGAATCGAACCGGGGTCTCCTGCATTGCAGGTGGATTCTTTACCAACTGAGCTATGAGGAAAGCCTAAGACACAGGAGGCTGAGAGGTTCAGGGAAGAGAGAAAACAGAGGCCATGGTTGGAATCTCTAGATGTTTCTCATCTCCCCAGGTCCCCCTGGCCCGGCCCCGGATGAGTGCTCAGGAGCAGTTGGAGAGAATCCGAAGAAATCAAGAGTGTGGGCGGCCTCTTCCTCGCCCGGTCTCCCCCCGGCTCCTCACCCTGGGGAGGACACTGTCCCCAGCCAGACGCCAGCCTGATGCGGAACAAAAAGTGAGGGAAACAGGGGTGGGTCAGTGAGGCAGCAGTGGGTTCTCAGTTCCTGGTTGGACCCTCAGTTTTCCTCTCTGTAAAATGGGGATTTTTTCCTTCCTCTATATCAGGTTTACTTGTACCTGTTTTAAATTCAGCATCCTGTCTTCCTTATCAGTGGAGAACAGGATGGGCCAGAGGCAACATCTCCATCCTCACCAGTATTCTCACTCCTCTGGGAGGAGTGGGTTTTAGAGCTGGATTGGAAGCCAAGTTTTCCTGTTCAGTTACTATGCTGTCAAAGGCAAAGAAAAAAGAAAAAAATGTATTTACTCTATTGCCATGGAGATCACACTGCCAATCTGAAGATCAGAGTGTCTGGGCAGGATGGTTTTTTTGTTTGTTTTTTGTTTTGGGCTGTGCCACTGCGCAGCTTGTGGGATTTTAGGGCTTGGGTTTAGTCCATGTTTGAGGACTTGGCTGTGGGAGCGCAGAGCCCTGCCTACTGGACCACCAGGGAATTCCCCATGGATAATTTCATCTTAAGACTCTTCTAGGAAGGAATTAGACAAGTGGGGTGATTTTGTGATTGTGATTATTTTTGTAAATGGGGGGTATCTCAAATCTGCTGAATATCAAACATTGATCTCTATGTCTAGCTAGCTTTTCGGGGGCAACAAGTTCATTAATCATTTATGACAAAAGGAATGTGAATTTGGAGGGTCTGTTTCTGGCCTTGTCACAGGGGGCTCATCTGTGAATCTTGTCAATGAAAATTCTATTAAAATCAAGTTAACAAGAAAAAAAGGGGACTGTTATTTGAGCCAAACAGGATTAGAACTTGGGAGAGAGACTCTCAGAAAGTTCTGAGAACTGTTTCACCATCTGTTAGAAGTCAGGAGGCACATTCGTATCTATTTTTCAGACAAAAGATGGAACATCAAAATGACATACTGACAGGACTTTCCTGGCAGTCCTGTGGTTAAGAATTTGCCTTGCAATGCAGGGGATGAGGGTTTGATACCTGGTCTGGGAACTAAGATCCCGCATGTCTCTGGGCAACTCAGCCTATACGCCACAACTACAGAATCTGTTGTTGTTTAGTTGCTGAGTTGTGTACCACTCTTTTGCCACCCCATGAACTGTAGCCCTCCAGGCAATCTTCCTGACCCAGGGATGGAACCCACATCTCCTGTTGAGCAAGTAAGTCTCTTGCATTGGCAGGCAGATTCTTTACCACTGAGCCCCCAGGGAAGCCCCATGCACTCTGACAAAAGATCCCACATGATGCAGCGAAGATCCCAAGTGCCACAACTAAGACTTGATGCAGCCAGATAAGTTAAAACAAACAGAGAAACAAAATAACATAGTGATATTTTACCTAAGGTTCACCAAGGATACACAGTCTAGGGAAGCACATGCAAAGCCAGCAGCAAGTTTCTGTGATCCCCTGCAGAGCTGGGAAAGAAGGCTGTTCTTTCTGGTAGTGTCAGAAGAAAGGGAAAAAAGAAATGATCTTCAGGACAGAGCAAGCACTGCCAACTCTGAGGAGCTCTGGCTAATGTGTGATCCGGGTGCACACTGCACATTAGGGATGGAGGAGCCCCAAACAAGCACACAGAGACTTTGATCTTTAATTTTCCTGTCTTGCCTTAAAATATCAATTTCACACCATCAGGCTTATCTAAGTCATATGAAGAAGCTGTTTACCAGAATGCAAAAGGTGTGGGGAAGTGGTTGGGGGGTGGTGATTTTCCAAACTCTTCCCTCTTTCCCAGGAGTTCAGGTAAAGTTAAGAATTAGCAGTATCGTTGGGGCAATTTTATCCTCTGAGCCCCTTCACCCTCAAAATGAGAACATGGGAACTTCCAGGGTGAGGAATTCTAATGCCCCCATTCCTTTGCAGCCTGTCCTGGGACACTCAGGAGCCCAGAAATGGCTCAGGAGTTCGGGGTCCTGGAGCAGGTAAGGAATTGGAGATCGAGGCAACAAGAAGGGAAATAACAAAGATAAGGGGAGTAGTATTACTGTTAATGTCTCCTGAGTACTAAAGTACAGATAGAAGAATCTTTTAGAGTCGCTTGAGTTCTTGGGGAATCAGAAAACCCTAGTTCGCGGGGAGAACTGCAGTTCCTTGTTCTATATCAAACTCCGCCCCACTGTCAGGAAATCGGAGAAATTTTCGGACAACTGGACTACAAATCCCACAATGCACGAGGGCTTCTAAAAAAGAGGGTCGCTCCACGTTTAAAATCCTTTAGAGACACGTGCTAGGGACTACAACTCCCAGAAGGACACGCGCGGCACTGTGGCCTTGACTGTACTGGCTAACTGAAGTTCCCCCAAACTCTTTTTTTCTAGCCCAAGGAACACCATCCCTTATTTGCTGACATCCGAAGGGCACCGGGAGCGAGTTCTCAGCCTCTCTCAAGCCCTGGCCGCTGAGGCATCGCAGTGGCGCGGAATGATGACAGGTGAGAATGAGCTGGGGACTTAGGACTCCTAGGTTTTAGGGATGAGGGAGGGTCGGAGGTCTGGAATCGCAGGTCGTGATGGGGAGGGGCCTGAGGGCCCCTGGGAATCCTTTGTCTTGATGAGGAAAGGCCTGGACAGGGCTTGGGAGTGCTAGATTCCAGGCAGGAGGGGGCTGGGGTGGAGGAGTGCTGAGTCTGGGAGAGCAGGCCGGACTCCTGGGTTTGAGAGGAAAGGCCCGGGGGCGGGGGCGGTGTCTGGACTTCTGGATTCCTGAGTTTCCCATTCTCATTCCCCATCCTTTCTCTCCAGGTGGAAATTTGGACTCTCGAGGGGACCCTCTTCCCCCTGCGCCGCCGCCTCCGTCAGATCCCACGCCCCAGGCGTCCTCACCCCGAAGATCTCCTCCAAGAGCCAATTCCTGCTCCACGGGTTTCTCCCCCAGAGGTAGTGGGCGCGGCGCGGGCCCCGCCTCCTGGGAGCAGACCTGGGATTCTGGGCCCGCCCCTCCCGCCCTGACCCCCGACGAGGGGGCGTGGCCTCTGAGAGTCACCCTGCTGCAGTCCAGCTTCTGACCCGCTCAGAAGTGGCAGCCAATCAGAGCGTGAGGGCGTGGCCTGGCGGGGCCACCTGAAGATCTGGAGCCTCTCGCCTCCCGTGACTTAGAAATGGTTTCTGTGGCCAAAGTTTGCTTTTCCCAACACTCGTCCAAATTTGGATTAAAACTTTGAACTTTTTACTCAATAACTTTTTGTCTGTTTGCGGTTGTGACCCTGGTGTCTCTGGAGGGGGGGCGGTTAGAGCTGGGGTCATGGATTTATGGGTCGCAAAGGAGGGGACCAGGACCTTGGACTTGCAGGTATGAGAAAGCAGGAAATCTCAGGGTCCGGAGTACTGGGTCTGGGGGAAGAGGGGGATGGGAACCGGATTCTTGCGTCTGAAGGAAGACGAGGGACCTGGACTTTGAGGTCCGAGGGCAGAGGGCGGCCGGACGCCAGGAATCCTGAATTTGAGGGAAGAAGTTCTGGGCATCCAGACTCTCGGATCTGAGGGAGGGACCAGCCTTCCAGGCCTCTGGCTTTCCTGGCAACGCCCCCCACCCCCACCCTCAGGGCCGGGCTTCAAGGATCCGGCCCCTATTTACGATTTGACCCCACGACCTCACCCGACTTTGGAGGTGGATAGAAGCCCGGAGTGAGGGACAGAGGAGAGGCGGTGTCTGGCGGAATGGCAATGGGAACGCGCTATGCTGGAAAGGTTGTCATCGTGACCGACGGCGGCCGCGGCATAGGAGCGGGGATCGTTCGAGCTTTCGGTGAGTGGGGTCTGGCCGGCTCTAATTATTGGGAATCTGGGAGAGGAGGGGCCCCCGAGGGCTGTGGGTGTGAGAAAAAGTAGGTCACATCCTGGAGTCTAGATTCTTATCTTACAAGATCCTGTTTGCAAAGTGAACGAAAAGGTAGGCAGTGGTTGCCTAGGGCCTGGGATTTTGGCAGATTTCCAAACGCCGTTTCTGTGGTCTCAGTAGTCTCTGCAAAACAGGCGGTTTGGGGGATGATGTCTCTTGCAGATTTCAGGTTTACTCTGGAACCCAGGAAGGCAGGCTCAGGAGCCCCAGCAGGCACCTAGAGTGACCAGAAGAGTATCTATCAAAACTTCTGCTCCCCCTCCAAAAACAAACAACTTCTGCCCCTTGTCCTAGAGAGTCATCATGAGACTTTGGGGTCACGAGGGGAGCAGAGCGGGAGACAGGCCCCACCCACCCCAGGTGGCCACTAGAGGGCAGCAGGGGCCTTCGCCAAGGTTTTTTTGTTGGGGTAACTCCTCTTTTCCAATTCTCAGTGGAGAGCGGTGCCCAGGTGGTTATCTGTGACAAAGATGGTGAGTGAGGCTCCCTCAGTCCTCATCCCAAACCCCCTGGGAGGAGTCCAGGCCCCCAGCCCCCTCCTCCCTCAGACTTCGAAGTCCAGACCCCCAGCCCTTCTCTTCCCGCAGAGACCAGGGGCAGGGCTGTGGAGCGAGAGCTTCCTGGCACTGTCTTTCTGCTCTGTGACGTGACTCGGGAGGAAGATGTGAGGGTGAGCGTATTTTCTGTCTCTACGCCCCGCCATGTCCAACTGGTTCTCTCTCCCCACGCCCCCACTCCCCTGGCCACCCCGAAGGCTTCTGCACATGCCATTCCCTCTGCCTTTCCCAGTTCTCCTGGCTTTATTGTACCGTTCAGCTCAGTATCACTTCAAGGCTTCCCCTTACGGTACTGACCAGGTCTTGTGTCTCCCGGGAGGATTCGCTCTTACCTCCCACTCTTTCAAGGCTCTGTCACAGCTGTCACATGGATTGGGGCAAATACATTCCTTACAGCGGGTCTCATCCTATAAGATTCTTTTCTGTTTCCTCAGTTTCCATCCTTCCGTCTAATCAGTATCTCTGACATCTGTCCCCAGTCCCAGGTCTCTAGGGTAGGGACCGCAATGTGAATGTCCCCAGCCCGCCGGTCTCTGGCCCCTCAGCTGTGACTCCTGTCCCCACCTTGCCTTTGGGACCCCTGGCTCTATAAGACCTGGTTCCAGCACTGCTCACTCACAAGATCTCTCTCTCCCCAGACCCTCGTTTCTGAGACCATCCGCCGTTTCGGTCGCCTGGATTGCATAGTCAACAATGCTGGCTACCGTGAGTCGTGAGGCCTGAGGGCTGTTCCCCACTGGTGTCAGCCCACCTCCTGGCGTTTCACCCAGGCCTGTGCCCTTAGCCCTTTCTGCATCCGTTTCTACATTTCTAAAACGAAAGTGGCCATCCTCCTCATCATTATAGGGTCGTTGTGCTAAACAGTGTTAACTGCTCAGCCTCATAATTACGGGAACTGTCTTGGACGAATAACTTCCATCTTGTAGCCTGTTTCTTATCTAGGAAGTGAGGCTGATGGCCCTTCCCTTTTTCCATGACTGGGAAGATATTTCTCCACACGTGGTTTATAGGGCTTGGTGTGGAGGCTTTGAAGAGAAATTGCCATCCACTTACTGACTACCCTTCATGACAGTGCCTCACATTGCTAAACCGAGACTCAGAGAGGCGAACTGATTGGACTGGGATCACACACTGTGGTAGAAAGAAGCCTTTTTTCTTGGTTGGGCAATGTTGAGCAATTGACTTACTCTCCCTGGGCTGAACTCTCTTCTTGTTCTAAGGATTTAAAGAGATACTAGTGCCTCCTTTCTCTCCATGTGCTTGATCCATTCAGCAGATATTTATTGAGCATCTACTATACTCCACCTTCTGTCCTGGAGACTGGAGATTTAGCAGTGAGCAAAATCCACCAAGCTTTCCTGTCCTCATAGCTCAGTTGGTAAAGAATCTGCCTGCAATGCAGGAGACCTCCCTTGGAGAAGGGAAAGGGTATCCACTCCAGTATTCTGGCCTGAAGAATTTCATGGACTGTATAGTCCATGGGGTTGCAACGAGTTGGACACAACTGAGAAACTTTCACTTCCTGTCCTCATGGGATTCACATTGTAAAGTAAGGAAATAGACAGTCAAAGGCAGATATGGTTAATGCTCATTTATTCACGGATTCTGTACTTGCGAACTCAGCTACTTGGTGGGGACGTGGGTTGTAACCTCAGAATCCCACTGTGCTTTCTGGGTATTTGCAGACAAGTTCAGAGAGGCAAAAGTTTGAGTCACCAGCAGCACATATTCCCAGCTAAGGTCAAACAAGGTGATACTCTGCCCTCTGAATTCAGTTTTCAAACAGAGAGATGCCCAGAGGTGGAGGCAGAAGAGGGCAGTGTCTTGTAAGCCTCTCTGGGGCTAGTTGGACAGGTCTGAATCCTAACTCTGGTACCTGGAGTGGGGCAGCCTCAGGCAAGTCACCTACACTCCTGAACCCCATTGCCTTATTTGCAAAATAAATGAGTCCACCAGTGCGAGTAATTTTTAGGATTTAAGAGTATAATCTATGTTAGAGAAACATACAGTTGTACACATATACATATGTGCATATTTGGGCTTCCCCTGTGGCTTAGTGGTAACGCAGTGCAGGAGACGCAAGAGACTCAGGTTCAATCTTGGGTTGGGAGGATCCCCCGGAGGAGAGCATGGCAACCCACTCCAGTGTTCTTGCCTGGAGACTCCCGTGGACAGAGGAGCCTGGTGGGCTACAGTCCATGGGATCACAAAGAGTTGGACATGACTGAAGCGACTGAGCAGGAGCTCGATATTCCCTATACACATAACACATATATGTTCTGTCTTAGCCTGCTCACGCTGCTATAATAGAAATACCATGGACTCAGTGACTTAAACAATGAACATTTGTTTCCGGAGCCTGGGAAGTCCAAGATCGAGTCAGAGGCAGATTTGGTATCTGGTGAGGCCCTGCTTGCTGGGGCCTCACAGGTAGAAGGAGCGAAGGACCTCCCTGGGGTCTATTTTATGAGGGCACTAATCCCATTCAAGAAGGCTCCATCCGCATGACTTAACTCCCACAGACCCCCACCTCCAAATACCATCTTATCGAAAGTTAGGATTTCCTTTTCTTATGACAGTTTACATATATATATATATTGGCTGTGCTGGGTCTTTGTTGACGCACGGATTTTTCTCTAGTTTCAGAGACTGGGGGCTCCTTTCTAGGTGCAGTGCTCAAGCTTCTCATTGTGGTGCCTTCTCTTGTGGAGCCCAGGCTCTAGAGCGAGTGGGCTTCAGTAGTTGTGGCTCCTGGGCTCTAGAGTACAGGCTCAGTGGTTGGGCTTAGTTGCTCTGCTACGTGTGGGATCTTCCCAGATCAGGGGTCAAACCCATGTCTCCTGCATTGGCAGGTGGATTCTTTACCACTGAGCCACCACGGAAGCCCTGAAGTTAGGAGCTGAATGTATGAAATCTGGGGGAGGACACAAGCATTCAGTCCATAGTATGTATATGTCATAATGTAATATTATATATACATATTTTCCCTTAGGAGCAGTGGGGTCACTATTCACTAATTCAGTGTTCGCTGTGACTTTGTGGACTATAATTTCCTCAAAGAATGAGAATTGGCTGTATATATTAGCATGTCCCATAGTGATAACGGCCTTGAAGAAAAATAAAGCTGATTGAGGGCTTAGAGAATGGCAGGGGTGGTTTTGGACATAGGATCTGGGATGGATTCTCTGAAGCTGTTTGAACTGTTTTCTGAAAGAAAAAAGGTCATAAGCCCTGGGACTCCGAGAGGAATACCCAACATTTCCTTAATTTTCCGTCATCTTGTTTCCCATCTCTCTTTCCTTTCATCCACTTTTAAAATATATTTATTTATTTGGTGGTGTTAGGTCTTAGCTGCCACACGTGGGATCTGGTTCCCTGCCCAGGGATCGAACCCTGGCCCCTGGCATTGGGAGTGTGGGATCTTTAGTCACTGGATCACCAGGGAAGAACCTCTTCATCCACTTTGGCTCCTAAAGCCTTTGGAAGGTTTGAGGTCCATTTTTCCCAGGTTTTTTTTTTTTTTTTCCTGTTCTTATTCCTATCATTCCTGCCTCTTTTCTTCTGAATGTTGATTTTTCTGTCCCCGTACTATCCATCCAGTTCTATTTACTTAACAAACACATTTATTGTAGTAGGTCAGGCACAAATATTGATGTGTGAAATTTCTGAGCCTGAGAACAAGGTGTCATCCTCATTTTGCACATGAACAAACAGGCACAGACAAGCAAAGTGACTTGCCTAAGGTCACGCAGCTAAGAAATGGCAGGGTTGAGGTTTGAACCCAGGTTTTCTGGCTCTGTGACTGCTTTCAAAGTTCTTTTTTTTTCTTTTGTTGCTTCTTTTAAATTTTTTAATTGATGTACAGTTGATTTACACTATTATGTTAGCTTCAGGTTTGCAGCATAGTGATTCAGTGTTTTTACAGACTATATTCCATTATAGGTTATTTCAAGATAACGGCTATAATTTCCTGTGCTATAGAGTATATCCTTGTTGCGTATCTATTTTATACATAGTAGTTTGTATCTGTAGGAGTTTGCATACCCCTGGTTTTCTGTTTCTGTTTTTTCACCTTGTATACCCCTAATTTGTCCCTCCCTCCTTCCTTCACCCCTTTGGTAACCATAAATTTGCTTTCTATATCTGAGTTTGTTTCCATTTTGCATCTATTAATACATTTATTTATATTATTTGTTAGATTCCACATACAAGTGATATCATTGCAGCATTTGTCTTTCTCCAGCTGACTTATTTCACTAAGCATAATCGTCTCTAGGTTGCTGCAAATGGCAGTATTTCCTTTTTTAAGGCTGAGTAATATTCCATTTGTACATATAAACCACCTCTTAAAAAAAGTTTTTATTATTTTTTGTTGGCAGTGCTGTGTCTTCGTTGCTGCGTGAGGGCTTTCTCTAGTTTCAGAAAGCAGGGGGCTATTCTCTAGTTGAGGTGCTCACAACTAGAGAGGTGGAGACTTCTCTTGTGAAGCGCAGGCCCTGGGCACTGGGGCTTCAGCAGTTGCAGCCTGGGCTCAGTAGCTGCGGCATGTGGGCTTGGCTGGCCCTGGGCATGTGGAATCTTCCTGGGCCAGGGATCGAACCCATGTCCTCTGCACTGGCAGGTGGCTTCTTAGCTACCGGCCTACCAGGGAAATCCTAAACTCCATCTTCTTAATTCAGCTGGATTGCTTTTTTTTTTTCTTTTAGTAACCATTAACCCTCTTGTCTGCCACTCCCCCATGCTCTTCCCCCCACCCCCCGCCCCCCATACCTGTTTCCCTTCCCTGTTCTCCTGTCTTCACGGTTCCCTCATCCTCTCCTCTGTCTTTCTCTCACCCCACCCTTAGACCCACCTCCACAGTGGCTCGAGGAGACCTCCGCTCAGGGCTTTCGCCAGCTGCTGGAGCTGAACCTGCTGGGGACGTACACCCTGACCAAGGTGAGGCTGGGGTCCCCGCCACCAGGCCTGGCTTACCTCCTGACCATGAGCTTGTCAGACCCATTTTTGTCTAAGAGCCAAATGTTTTCTGTGCCTTGCTTTGATCTTATTCTGGAAGGGCTCCATTCTTCGTAGAAAAGAAATGCCTGCAGATCCCTATATCCAGCCAAAGCTACCCGTGTTGGCTACATAGTCCCGTCTTCTTAGGAACCTTCCAGAACCTTCCAGCATGGTGTGGTGAGGGATGTTAAGGATATGGAGGGAGGGATTGGGACAAGGAGTCAGTAATAGATACAGCTTTGCCATCCAACGAATAGCTATTAGGAGGAAAGAGCATTCCCCCTCTATCTGTATGCCTTTCCTCTGAATCTTGCTATAACCACCTCCTATTTACCATCTCAGTTCAAATACCACATCTTCAGAAAAGCCTTTACTGATCATCCTTGCTTATGTGGCATCTACACCTATATGGGGCTTCCCTGACAGCTCAGCTGGTAAAGAATACACCTGCAAAGCAGGAGACCCCAGTTCGATTCCTGGGTTGGGAAGATCCCTTGCAGAAGGGAAAGGCTACCCACTCCAGTATTCTGGCCTGGAGAAGTCCATGGACTGTAGAGTCCATGGGGTCGCAAACAGTTGGACACGACTGAGTGACTTTCACTTTCACACCTATATGTTCATTCTCTATGATAACAGCTTATTTTCATCAAAGTATTTTTGAAGATTATAGTTTACTCTCTTTTTTGGTAAGTGTTTTTTTTTTGTGTGTGTGTAGACTGTTTAAAAAGTCTTCATTGAACCTGGTGCAGTATTGCTTCTGCTTTATGTTTTGGTTTTTTGGCCGATAGGCATGTGGGGTCTTAGCTCTCCGACCAGGGATCAAACGTTCACCCCCTGCATTGGAAGGTGAACCACTGGACTTCCAGGGGAGTCCCATCACTAGTAAATAAAAGAAATAAATTCTAATTAATTGATTACTTCTATTTTTTATCATAATACATTTTGGGGGGCTACTTGGCAGCTTGCAGGATCTTATTTTCCCAACCAGGGATTGAACCCATGCCCTCTGCAGTAGAAACTCGGAGTCCTAACCACTGGACCACCAGGGAATTCCCCATCATAATACTTCTGTATTCACTCATTCAACAAACATTTATTTAGCACCAGACATGTGCTAAGCAATGACCGTGCAGCAGGGACCAAAACAAAGTGCTGTGACCCTGGGGAGCCAACATTCTTATGGGGGAAACAGACAGTAAGCCAGGAAATACAATATAACATCAGGGAGTGATAAGTGCGGTGCCAAAAATTGAAGGGAGGTAAGGGGATCAAGAAGTATGGGCAAGTGTAAATGCTATGTTATAAAACTTTTTCCTGTGGCATTTTACAGGCACACATGAAGACAGAGAGAATTGTATTAATATCACTGAACCCACACACCCATCACCCAATGCTAACAATCAGTGTTCTACCATTCTTCCTTCTTGTCAACTCCTCACACTTTTTTCTTTCCTTTATCTTTTCTGGAGTGAAAAGTGAAAGTGTTAGTGGCTCAGTTGTGTCCGACTCTTTGCAACCCTAGGGGCTGTAGCTTGCCAGGCTCCTTTGTCTATAGAATTCTCCAGGCAAGAGTACTGGAGTGGGTTGCCATTTCCTTTTCCAGGAAATCTTCCCAACCCAAGGACGAAACCCAGATCTCTTGCATTATAGGCAGATTCTTTACCTTCTGAACCAATAGGGGGAGAAGTAGGTGGCCTGGGGGACTGTTGAGTGAGAGATGGTAACCAAACGCCCACGTGGGAGCCCTGCATCTAGGGCAGGGGTTGAGGCTTGCCGACATCAGTTTGGAGCCCTCTAGCCCAAGGCTAAAGGAGCTCAGGAAAAAAACAACAACCCTATAAACTGGAATTTCCCTGGTAGTCCAGGGGCTGAGACTCCACACCTCCAATATAGGTGGCCCACATTCCATCCTTCATCAGGGAACTAGATCCCACAGGCCCCAACTAAAAAATACCCACGTGACGCAACTAAGATCTGGCACAGCCAAAGAAATAAATATTTAAAAAATATATAAATATATATATATATATATAATCAGAGGTCAGAGGCCCACTCCATGGGTCAGGGGTCACCTGCGTGGGGATGCTCAAGTGCTACCCAGATCTTGTCCGAGATCCAGGTGAAATATCCCCGGGGAAACTGGATAATCTGTTGCTCAACCAGTCAGCCTTGGCTCCTGTCCCCAATTTCTGTTCAGCTTCTAAGATTGGTGCCTAGGTCAGCTGGTGAAGAATCCGCCTGAAATGCAGGAGACACTGGTTTGATTCCTGGGTCGGAAAGATCCCCTGGAGAAGGGATAGTCTACCCACTCCAGTATGCATGGGCTTCCCTGGTGGTTCAGACCAGTAAAGAATCTGCCTGCAACGCAGGAGACCTGGGTTCGATCCTTGGGTTGGAAAGATCCCCTGGAGGAGGGCACAGCAACCCACTCCAGTATTCTTGCCTGAATAATCCCCATGGACAGAGGAGCCTGGTGGGCTACAGTCCATGGGGTCACAGAGAGTCGGGCATGACTGAGTGACAGCACAGCCGGAATTCCCTGACGGTCCAGTGGTTAGGACTCTGATTTCATTGTCAAGGGTGTGGGGTTAATCCTTGGTCTGGGAACTGAGACCCTGAAAGCTGTGGGGCATGGCATAATAATAATAAGAGGAAGATTAGCACCTCTGTACAGTAAGACAGGCATAAATCATAGCCCATAAAGGATATGTGTGTGCATATATTTATATTTTTGTTGTTTTTTTAAATTAAATTTTTCTTTTGGCTGTGCTGGGTCTTTGTTGCGCTCAGGCTTTTCTCTCGTTGTGCAGAGCGGGGACCACACTGCGGTGGCTCCTCCTGTCGCTGAGCGTGGGCTCTAGGTTCCTCGGGCTTCAGTAGCTGCGGCATGAAGGCCTAATTGCTCCACAGCAGGGGGATCTTCCCGGACCAGGGATGGAACCTGTGTCTTCTGCATTGGCAGGTGGATTCTTTACCACTGGGCCCCACCACGGAAGCCCTATATATTTTTTTCTTTCTCTCCCTCCCTCATTAGCTATCAACATTTAAAAAAGAGAGAGAGAGAGAAATGTCTCATAAACAACCAGTTTTCTGGTTTCTCCTGGAAATTTGGCCAACTGGACCCACAGGGAGGGTGACAGTCTGCTAGACGTGACCTGACTCTCCACTGTATCCCAGTCCCAGGTTCCCCCTCCTGGGTCTCCTCCTGACTCTTACCTGTGACTCACTGGTGTGGAAACCTCTGAGGGTCTAGATCTGGTGTCTGCCTGCCTGGGTTCTCTGTCACTCCTTGCTTGTAACATTAGGCAAGTTACTCAGTCTCTCTGCATCTAGGTTTTCTCATCTGTAGTAGGAAGCTGAATAGCATTAGCTAATTCCTGGGGTTGTCCTGAGAATTGAATATGATTAAATTAAATACCCACAAAGCCCTCAGAACATTCCTGGCACCCACTTTACTCTCTGCAAGGTATCATTGTTATTGTGAACCTTGCTCCATCCTGTTTCTCGAGGCTACTCAGTCTGCAGTCTCTGATACACATACAAATGAAGCCTGGGAGGAATAGAAGGGAAAGGTTAATGCTTGAGCTGTACTTTGAATGGAAGTGAAGGAAGTGGAGAAATAGGACGTTTTGCTTGCCAAAAGAGTAGCAAAGGCCCTGGGGCAGAAACCACCGGGGTGTATTTTAAGACCAAGAAATTCTCCATCTCCATTTGCCCTTAGCAATTATAAATATTTTGCAAGGTAAATATATTTTATTTTATTTCTTTTGGTCACATTGTGTGACATGTGGAACTTCCCTGACCAGGGAGCCTTAACCAATCATCAAGGAAGTCCAATTATATTAGAAACATTTTGTTAAGCTTGTTGTATCCATTGCCTTCTACCATCCCCTACCCGGACATCATATAATTCCGTTAGTAAGAACTTCATGAATACTACCAATGGATTAGAACATTTATTTATTTTTATTTTGACATAACTTAAGACGTACAGAGTATTTCCAGGATAGTACAGAGAATTCCTGTATATCCAGACTCCCCATTGTTAACACTTTTTTCTTCTTTAAACCACATTTGCTATATCCTTCTATCTCTGTATTTGGGAATAAGTTGCAATCTATTTTGCCCACGTGGGGCAAGTGGTAAAGAATCCACTTGCCAATGCAGGAGCTACAAGAGACTCGGGTTCGACCTCTGGGTTGGAAAGATTCCCTGAAGGAAATGGTATCTCAGTCCAGCAGTCTTGCCTGGAGAATTCCATGGACAGAGGAGCCTGGCGGGCTACAGTCCATGGGGTTGCAGAGACATAACTGAGTCCGCATGTATACATATGATGTCTCTTTACCCATAGTACTTTGGAGGGCATTTCCTAAAACCAAAAGAACATTCTTTTATGAAATCACAGTAAGACTAACATTGATACCATGGTCTTAGCTAATGTTGAAACTTTCTTACTCAGACTTTTAGAATTCTTATCATCACAGTTTTGTGGCCACACCTGTGTTAGTTGGGGTTCCCCCAGAAGCAGAACCTAGGTGGGGATTGACGGGCAGCGTGGATGGAAAGCAATCCTGTGAATCGCTGTCTTCAGCCTGGGGAGTAGTTGTCAGGGAGCCAGTGAAGGGCATCACCAGGGCAAGTGGGGGCCGCTCTCGGGGACACGCTGGGGGTCACGGGGAAACATGAACCCAAGAGTTACCTCCCACTCCCAAGAGGCAAAGCAAAGCCAAATACTGTTTTAATTTAAAAATATATTTAGGGAATTCCCTGGCATTGCAGTGGTTAGGACTCAGTGCTTTCACTGACAAGAGCCCAGGTTCAATCCCTGGTCAGGGAGCTAAAACCCCCACAAGTGGCTTGGGGTGGCAAAAAAAAAGAAAAGAAAAGAAAGCAAGACTAGCAATGAAAAATTTGACTTCATGTTAAAAATTAAAATGAAG